TTCTAAACCTTTTACGTCACTCAGTTTTAAGAGAAAACAAAAGAAATCCGCCATGTTCTGTCCCAAAACATATCCTACAATGCATTGCGTATACGGTACATGACGTAAMMGCTTCARAGGTCTATTACTGTTTGGAATTTTCTCGCCTTCCCGTTRMTCACATTCAGGGTGGAAATCATTTCACCTCTTGTCAATAAATCAGTTATGACAGATAGAATATTGAATAAATGATATTTCTATTTTTCTATTTTACTTTTTAAGTAAGTCTCACATTTACTCTGGTAATCAACTCCTGAAAGTGATATGATGGAGAAATAGATGGCTTGAYGGCTGCTTTGAGTAACTCCACAAAACGTTTTGACGATATGTTTTCAGTATGTTTTGAATTTTCTCCAGATGTTGGCGTGAATAACTAAATGATACCARACTGCTCAGATTTCTTACCACAAACACCTTGAATACGAAATGATAATCAATGTGTAGGCGTGTTCCATGGGGATGGATGTCAATTAATGGGGCTTGCATCCCCTGTCCCTGAGCCAATTGTATACTGTATTTGTGTGATCACGGGACGAATCACAATACAATGAAAAAATAAAAATAGAAAACAAAATAAATAGTTCATCGGTGMTTCAGCGGAATTTTAGCTTTTACATCTTCATAGTATACAAAATGRTAGGGCGTTTTAATAAACCCGTGAAACTAAGTTTAATAAYGAGACTGTAATAAAATGTGTGATACACTAAAATAAAGAGTAATAAAGTCTATGTGTATACCACACGGAAAACCCAGCTATAGTCACCATTATATACTWCTTATTGTTATGGATTTCCCTTCTCAGATTAATAAGACCTAAAATCATTCAGAGGTGCTCAAGCATCTAACKTCTAATAGTGCCATTGGGAGAAACCGTACCACTAAAATTGAATAGCATTATGGGAAATTAGTACTTAAGCCAATCCGATTACAAGTTGTTGAGTATGAGGAGCCTTATTGTCTAACGTTGGTCAAACGCAGATGGCATTAAGTACAGCAACATCTTCACTCATTGGTAAACATACGGTAATTGTAGTAATCATGTGATATTGGTGCTAGCGGGTTAGGGTTGAACGCCTAGAATTAGAATATACTCGCAAGACAGTCACGCTAAACTTGTGCTGGTAACTTGTTGTATTTTCTTTAATTTTATAGACTAATAATGTATGATCTATATGTCTATTTATTTCCCACTTTCGTTCTGTCATTCAGTCATTCATTTATTCATTTATCCGGCATTTATTCATTAATCCAACAAGCTATCTTCATATAATTCATTTCTATGACTAGGGCAGTATTCCAAGTGAGTGCCATGTGATGGCCGCCTCTTGTAAATATAGGAAGCGAAAAACACTCAGTATTTAGATATTGAACTTACAAGAATTAGTAAATGGCTCCGTAAAACCTCTTTTCCTTTTAAGACTCTCCAATATCACGATTTTCATGCTTTTAATTGTAATGTGATTTCATCTAAAGACTTTTATAATTAATTTCCTAATAAAGTGTCCTCTTATCTCGCCTTACAGACAACACGAAAATCTCTTTTGCATTGAGTATTTTGATTCAATTAATAGTTTGACGGTTTCAAAAACCTTCCCAAAGTGTTGATGTAAAGTCATAATAGAAGACCGCAAACTCGCCGCAGACAGTGATTGCTAATACATCTCATTTTTTACAGAAAAAAAAACTGGCATTATTGTAACTACAACACAGAGCAGCAGCAGTAAGTAAATATTTTGTTAGTGAGAGATTCTCGGCTTTTTTTACCGGCAAATCCTATAAATGCTATCTGTRTGAGCTGTGACATATTGAAATTCTTATACGACTAAAAATATGCTAGAAATATTGTTTACTGCGGTTTTATGTGTTGGTCGTTACTTTTAACCACCCCCGTAACAGACATCTATTCAAGGAACACTTACCACGCGTTACTTTGCAGGCCAACATAAAACAAGTGCGAGTACTCTCTTATTCTCTTTATTTTCTTCTAGTTAAAACCTTCAAGTTTGGTTTACAGTTAGGGGTTAAGGTAAACAGATTATTATTTCATCAGTTTWTGTTTCTCTACTCGAACACTTTAAAAATTGGACGTTCACATCCAATTTACAGTCCCCCCTTTAGCAAGTGCCGACAGGAAAATCACCTTGTAAACTTTACGATATTTTTTTCAAGGGTTAACTTCAACAAAGACAGTAATTTGGTTGTTTTCTTTTGCCATCTGAACATGCCTTTGGCAATCATCGACATGGCAGGAGGACTCAACATCTTTTAAGGTTAGAATTCAATACTTCACGACGTATATGAAATCCTCACAGTTGATAGTCGGCAAGTATGGATCTTATGGCGCGTTTTTCTCAGTTCACTTAAACCGTCGTTAAATGATTTATTATTCATACACGAAACGCGAATATTTACTAAAAACATTATTTTAAGTATTTCCTTACTACGCAAAAGACTTAATCCTAGTCCTGCGGGGATGGTCGTGAAAAAAAAAAACAACAAAAACAAACGAAAATGGTGAGCATAGAAATGTCTGACGAGGAAACATAACTCGATGCCATGAATAATCCTAAAGTGATCGATAAGCGTGGTTTATTGTGGTTTCATCGCCATATCATAGTACTTTGCTATTAATTAACAAAAATATGTTCTTTGTTTTATACTTTGAGATTGCGCGATGGTTAATGAATGGGGAAAGCGTCGCTTTGGCCGCGTTKTTTCATTGTTGTAATTAGTAACTCGATGGTAAGCGTGATAGCACTTCGTTTTATTAGTCTTAATTATCATTGAAATAACAGAGATGTATAGTTTATAATCCCTATCAAGACCTTATACGCTGTTTTTACTAGTACACTTTGCACCTTTTTGAAGCTAAGGTACCATTTATGCATTTAAAGTATTTTCATCTCCTTGCATTATCGCTCGCTTTTCAACTTTTAATGGATTTACCATCATCATCATAATAATATCGATAGAATACCGTATTCATCAGTACTGTAAAGTTATACCCATCAATCATACAGTACTTGTTCCTCTGTCTCTGGTTGCCAAGGAAACGAGGACTGATCCACTCAGATGGAAATATTGGTTATAGTGAGACTTGCCGATAAATATTGTGCCACAGTTTGACAAAAGCTGCTAGAAATAGGTTTCTTTTGTAGTCAGGGTTTTTTTTTATTTGTATATATGCTCTCGCCACTAATTGTCCTAGTGAATCCCGGCAGAAAATGAGACATGTTATCTTTCGCTGAAATGTCCACAACTTGTGATTACTGAAACACTAAACAAAACGGTAATGTAGCTATTTTTACATTAGTTGAGATTTTACAAATGTTTCTATTATACTTACAGTAGCATGATAGATACAGTAAGTTTATCTCATAATCTATTTTCTTTCGTTAAAATAGACGCGTCTATTTTTGACCGTATTGTATTCTAACAAACATTGCGTTGAATGCAGTAGACTATGCAACAATTAATATTAACAATTAATCCACGCCAATCAATGGATATGATCAAACTCGCATGCSCGCTGATTGGCTACACTAGTACTAGAATATATTTTATATCCCGAGTGAGTACAGAAAAAAACAAAAAGTACAGAAAAAAAACAAAATGGTGACCAGATTTTGAAATCATAGCGAAAACGTGGACATTCATTAGTGTTACAAAAAAGCAATTGTTCCACTCGATCTCATCATGTATGGCTTTGCCTCGTGCACTATCAGCTGTTATCTTGGTGATTGAGTCGTATAGCTTCAAGTCATATATTGCTTTAGACTTTAAGGAGACAAAGGCGTATTTTACACTTGAACAAWTTGAAGAGTATGGAAAAGACTGAATACAATATATACAAATTAAGAAACATCTAATTGAACTCACCATTGAAAAATAGAACATTTTGGGGAAAAAATGAATGCAAATTGAAAAAATGAATTTGGTGAAAAATGAATGCATTAGAAATAACAAAATGATGACGCAGACCATCGAGGCTGAACGCTTTTTTTTGTCTTTTTTAATGTTTTCCTTTTTACAGAAGTACATTGTTCTCACAGTATAATACAGATTTGCAACGTTGCTATTTTACTCTGCACAAAGCCCTAGTCACGTTATAAGATAGGTCCGGATTTCTAGAAGTTGGTCCGGTTTAATCAATTTTCCCAGGAATTATATTTGAAAATATGTTCTAAAAAATAATGAAATATCTGACAGTTGGTTCGATAAAACCTGACCAACCGTTCCTTAAACTTGTAAAGAAATTGTACACGGTGAAAAAAGGCCACGAGAAAGCACTGGACGGGGCACTGCATGATATCATTAGATTGATTTGCTGTGGGGGGTAATTTTCTAACGGTTAAGATGATCTTATCAACGACTAGTCATCTGATACTAAGATAGCAGTATTCAAAACAATACTACAAAAAAACGATGTGAAAATGCTCGATACCTGGCCTTTTCTGTGATTTTTATAAAAATGCACATGTTTTTAATCAAGAATAGAATCACGTGATGTGTCTTCATTGCCATGGTAACGTCTGTCACGGTGTAAGTGTTTCAGGATAAAAACTGATTGTGAAAGACAAAAATATTTCGGTATTTCCACGATGGYCATACTAAGGAAATTAAAAACTACTTTTCTTCGATAAACAGATGACAWAACCAATATCTGATCAAAGGAAAGGCGCTTTTCATTTTGATAGAGTTCATTTTTCTCAATAACACTGTCATTTCCGGACTAGGGAAGACGCTAATGAGCATGTGCAGACTGTAGCCATTGATATGTCTATACAAACTAAAGTAGCCACACAGCAACTATTAGATTGATTATCTGTAAAGAAAAGCTGTTCGATCAAAGTTAACATGAGAAAGCATGACTTCACTTTGAAACGAAGCAGATAAGTTTCTATTTAATGATCATGAATTCATTGGAAAATATTGAACAGAGGYAAATTCTTTATCCAACATAGAATATCTAGAATGCAGACATTGTGGACTGTATTCTTGTCATATTTCATAACTCTGACTGACAGACTCCAATCATCGAAGACAGCACAAAGTCTCGTCGATTTAACGCTTTTTGCGAATCTTAATAGTCTTAATAGAATCTTAATAAATTTGCTTTGAGGACCATTTATGTAAGAACCTATTTTAGCTAATTTGAAAAAAGAGACTCTTATAAGCGGGTTCTATAATTACTGTATTCCGTTTAGGCTATAGTGTAATCTTCTGAGCAGCTTTCACTAAAGCTACAGTAGCACGAACAGGATATTCATGTGTGGCTTTTCAACCATTGTCTAATTTGAGGCATAATGCACGTGCACGAACCAGGCTCAATGTCATTAGTGATTAATAAATTCGGCATTTCTAGGTCTTCTAGGAAATGGTACTTCTTTGTTTTCCAATATATGCATGAACGTGTTTTGGCGAATCCAAGAAAATTGTGTTTTTTGATTCCTGGAAAAGGACGGATTGTTTTCTGACTTAATAATTCTATCTTATTGGATTATAGTTGCTTAACTCTGATGCTGATCCCGAAACAAATCATCAAACATCAAAGACCTAGGATTCAGCAACCCTCACCAACACCCGTCCACAGCAGCAATCCTCAAAACTCCACTCCAATACTCCTCACCAACACCCCTATTAATAAAACAAAACTATTGAGTTGCACGACGGACAATAATTCATACCCCTCTCCCACCCCAACAAAACAATAGCATACCCCTCCACACACACAAGATTGTACCGATACAAATAAGGCTTAACCCCCCCCCCCCCCCCCCCCTGCTGCACCAGAAACAAGACCAGTGGATATTGCTTGTAAACTTTGATACAATCTGCTTGAAACAAATTCACAATGAAGRAACTGAATCAACAAATTATGTAAACTTTCAGGACGGAAGAGCACTTCAAGCTGACGTTTTAAATGGTTCCTATTGAACATTACACCACAAMTGAGTACTGGTCCTTAGACAAGGAAATCTCTTTTTAAGTTCTTTGCCGTTCTATAACGAGACAAGCTTATCGCATTGGGTTTCGTCAAACGATTGACAAGAAGCAGGCTGCGTACCATTTTGTACTGTAATGTTAACTGACATGTTAACSTTYAATCATCGATCCACTGCTACGATAGCTCATGTGATTGGTTCACATTACACTGAGTTGTGATGTAGTTGGTCAGGTTTATATGTCCACTATATCCGGGATATATTCCTTACCAGTCTAACCGAGCCAAGTCAGACAAGCAGATGTTTCATTACTAATTGAACAAGAACCTTCTTAAAGACACTTTGAAACTGGGAAATTGGAGTTACACTCTATAGACCCTGAGAGAATCACTTGAAAAAGTCATTGGTTGAATTGCTTTTCAGACCGAATCCATTTTCTGTGCGTAGAATAACGACCCTTGCGTTTGTTACACACATCAGAAGGTAATTACTTTCTGGCTCTGTCATTTTTTTTTCCATTTCCCTTGCATCTTTGTCATTTTCACTGTTTTTTATTCAAGTTTTCTTAAAAGTACCAGTATGTTGTTTAACTCGTTTGGTGCAAGACATCCTCGAAGTGTTTGTACAATTTTTTATTTCAAGACAYCTGATAAGTTCTTAAAATAGGCTTCGCTTTTGAACATAATGATGGCCATTCATTTCAATTTGTGTTCAAACATGGATTATCCTCACTGACAGTTTCTGTGCYGCGGACAGTTTTCTTTGTTTTGTTGTTTATAACTGTAGATGAGTCTGTGACTTTGTTCTTTACATGACACGTACAGCCTCAGAAGGTAACTCTTTTTTACATCTCACAGTTTTCTTGAACATTTTCCTATTTCGTTTTTGTCAATTAAATGTTTTACTTCTTTTTATTGATCAAAAACATATGTTGATTACGTGCTTCATCCATTGTACCATCCATTTATTTATTTACCTTTCAATTCATTGATCAGWACATCCATTCATTTCTCCCTTCCATTTATTCATTTTGTTTCTTTCACCCATTTATATATATCAATCACTTCATTCAACGTACTTCTTTGTTAAATACGAACTTCAACCTTACAAAATACACACACATTTGCTGTAGTAAAAATATTGTTGGCAATGTTTTACAGATGTTATATTTATTCATATATTAGTGGCATCGGCAGGTTCTTGCATTTGCACTTTGGCTGACTTGTTCTGTCATTCTTGTGAAAGAATTACTCTGTTTATTAGAGTGTTTTTATGTAATTTTTCTTGCAAGGAATTGTTATCGTGCGTCCAAAGTGATATTGCTTTTTGATATCTGTATTTTTTTAGTGTATTATCGATCACCGCCATCGGCTCGTAAACCATTTCAAAGTCAATTGAGTTACTGCAGGGAATAGCTAATATGTTCAACTCAAAAACAGTCATTGTTTTAGAGAGAAAGTGACACTTCAAGCAGCTGTATTTGTAGACATATATCAAAGAATAAGCGGTATGTAATTTAGCATGAAGATCTAGAATATTTTAACTCTTGCCTAAAATTAGATTAATCTACTCTCGCTGCCCGTAACAAACATCAGTAAGGACCACTTTTCGTCACTTTATTTTGTGTTTATGATTGTTGCCTTGGAAACACAGTAAATAATAGTTYAAGTGGTGTTTATCGTAGTCTGATATATGTTGCTACGTAACCAGCAAGCGAGTTTTACATTGCCGTGTGGGAGTACAGCTAATATTCTATACGATATCGATTTCACTACATTCACAACTTTTTCTTAAAACATTTATGAGCTCTGATTGGTTGTTAGGYGATCACGTGTCCTGCATGCTCCATATTGATGCTTATATAATACCATGATGCAATGGGCTAAATCCATCTTGGCGTCATGAGTCACGTTATTTAAATTAGTGAACATGGAATAAAGTAGTCATTAGCGGTTCGAAAATTGTTGTTACCAAGATGCATAAGTTTTTTTATCCCCATTTGACGTTTTGTTTGCTACACTTTTCTGGRAATCCGCTTTAAGTTTATTTTTATCGTTGCTTTCAGATTTCAATAACCAAAATGGATACTTTGGATATATTTGAATCCGGAAACTGGGGATGAGCAAATCCTCTAAGTGTGCGAATTCCGAATACGTGCGTAAATAGTGGGTGGGGTACTAGGAAGAGCGGTAAGGGAACCTTCCACCGACAACATTTATTGAGAAGTAATTTTCAAACTATCGGTGAAAAGTTGACGCCCTATATTTATCAACCAAGACAACTGATGAAGCTATGAAGTTAGAAAAAATATAGCAATGTTATGTATAAATGGTATAAGCTTAATGTAGTTTATACGTGACAATTAGTACGATACTATAAGTAGAGGGTTTCAAAAACAATTTAAAAGTGCTTTTAGAGTTGATGCTCTGACGAATTTCCATTCAGCTTAGAAAAGGCCACCCTTAAACAAACAATCGAAGCACTTTGCAGCTAAACTGTTCAACTCCCGGAGGGAATTACTTTAAAAGCCTCTAATGTGCATATTGTTTATTGATTTTCGTTGAAGACGTTCAGTAAATGTTTGGAATATGAAAGTTTTATATATAAGTATATTAGTATACTGTTATACAGCAATATGCAGAAATTATGATCATTTTAACTTATATCCCAAGTATATATAACATTTATCAGAAATTATGTTATATCATGGCCAATATTTTATTAGAGTTGCCTAACACTAGTACTTTCTAAAATAGCATTGGCGATGATATCCCATTTTTATTTTATGTACACTGAGCAAAAAAGTAATTAGAGCAAAAAAGATGATAATTTCTGCATGTTGTTTTAAAATGTTTATATCAATAGTGTTTGTTATTAGATATTATGTTTATTTGATCATCATTGAAGCAATGATGATTTAGATTCATAATAACCTTCGATAAAAAATGTTTTTTCATATGTCTTCATTCTATTACATTTGCTCCAATGTCGCATGTTTTCTTCTCTTAGTGTAGTCACCGATATCATCTCTTCAATATGGCGAGTGACTTGATGATAGACAGGCTTTTAAATCCACCGCTAACTTACCTGAACGATAAGGCGGGAAACAATCATGGCAGCAAATTCCATTAACTTATTTACTAATATTTATTTCAAAACTGATGGATTGGCAAACAACTCGTCCTCACTATTGTCATAGCGTTTTTCCGTCTTCAAATGATAGAAAAACAATAGAAAAAAAAAAATAAGAAAACGTTGTGGACAAGGACTAAAAACTCTCAAAGGTTTTTTTTTACTGGATATTTTCACAAAAGAAATATGGGAGACGAGGACAAATCAGTAATCTTTATTTTTAAACTTTCTATTTGTTGTTTACTATTTCAGTTAATCATATTTATCTTTGAGTATTTTTCATCGACAAATCATGAGATATATGCAGATGTAATCAGCAATGAGGATAATCCGCTTTACTTTACCCTACCACGCCCCTTGTGTTATGCTGTAGTTTTGCTCTAATCGTTCTCCAAGCAACGCTGTCAAAATACACGTCAAAGGACTGTCATTATATTTATTACTGTCAAATCAATTATTTCTGAATTATGTTTTAATTACTCGTGTCTGCCAGCATGCGTAACTTTAGAATCATTTGTTAGTAGGGACGACACAAGCCAAATACATTAGGTAAGGTTTGTTTCTGTTCTTATCTTAATCGTTAGCTATTGCTTTCAGTAATGGAACTAATCCTGCAGTATCTAAGGTTTTCATTTTCAATCGTTGTTCTTCCGGTAAAAGCCGATTTCTGCTGTACATCTTTTTTGGAAGATTGGTGTTAATGAATTAGTCTTTGAGCGCGCTAACATTAATGATATCTAAAACAACGATGCGACGACTATTGTGTGGTAGTTTCTTTTGAAATAAGCCGAAAACAAACTATAGAGGCTAACGAAAATACACGTAAAATCTATATAACAATAATTATAGTTCACTTAAATGAAATATTATTATCATAATGAGAAAAAAAATAGACCAACTAATTAACAGACAAACGAACAAAAGTAAAACAAAAGAAAATTTCTGCTTTTAGCTGACATTAGTAATCCATGACGTTGGATCCTGTACTAACTGTCATTTAGTCTTTCTATAAGGGTTTGCGGAATAACATGTCATTGTGGTCTATCTCCCCCAAGGTTTTTACCTCGATTACGTCATCAGTAGCACGTAATGGGCGCCTATTTGAGAACTGAGTTCTGATTGACCGCTTAATGGGAGATATTTTGTTAGTATGAATGGAATATACATCATGTTGTATAGTATAATAGAACATTATATACTATATCATTCACATTTAACAGAGCATATGATACAATAGGATAGTATACACATATAGCCATGTTCTAAAAGTGTGTTGCTATGGTAACCATTAGATGAGCTCCTCGAGACCATTAAATCGCCATGGTGACCAGTAATATTCTGTGAGTGTTTGATGTAATCAGTTTTAACTCATCTTTGACGATCCTTACCGCAAATATACAGCACAGTCTCTCTAAAAGCCTTTATGCTAATATTTACCACAAGGACAAGGTTGTGAATCGGATCATTTCACATAACACAACAGTTACAAACCAAGGATTATCTCTTATGTATTGATTTTTATCATATGTTTTGTGAAGCCCGCGTCACGTTGACGGCTTTACTATAAATATCACAATGTAGAGTTAGTGAGTTTGTACAGTCAGTAGTCGTGAAAGGTTTTTGCTTACACAGCTAGACTAAGACTACACCAAGAATCACTGCTGTTTTCTCTTTAACATTACTCGTTTTACAAACTTTATTTTAGCGTGTCGTTGATCGTGCTCGGAAGGGTAACCGGGTTTATTATTGAGTATTTTAGAGAATAAAGTAGCTCTTTTTGAGTAACAAACCATCATTTGTTTACATAGAAACCACCTGGTATGTTTGCACATGCGCCGTAGACTTGTTTTACCCTCCGTAACTTCATCTTTTCTAAAAACAAGTCCTTTAAAATGCATGTTATTGATGGCTGATAGTGTGTTCTCCGCTTGAGTTTAATATGGCTGTCATGATCGCCATGTATCGGTACTAGGACTTAAGGTAAAGCTAGAGAAGATACCACCAATTGACTTTTAACAGTCGAATCAGACTCACTGGCGACTTCGACAAATTTAGATTACAATCTTAATTTCTTCTTATTTTTGTTGCTCTTCAGTTTTTAGGCAAAACAAGTCCACTATGAGCAAACTCGACGCAAAAACAACTCCGACTGGAGACAAGAATATCATAAAAAGCAGCTCAACTACAACCAAAAAGATCACTTCTTCTAGAACCGTAACTAAAACTGTAGTGTCAGGTTCTTCTCGTAATACCAACTTACAACAATTCAAGACATCGGCAACACAAAATATTTTCTCTGAGAAATCCTGGACGTCTTCATTACATGATGGAAAGTTTGGCTCGACATTACAAGAAGAAAAGACGGTTCAATTTGAAACTAATTCATCAGAAACCAAACGTCAAGATTTTAAAGGTGGATTGAACTTTGACGCACAGCATGCCTTGCATCTCAAACAGGGAGCGCGACCTAAAACCACTTCGTCTAGTTTAATTCGTTCATCAGCTATTAACTCTAAACTTGATTCTGGGTTTGATTTACACTCAGATCTGCATATTCCTTCGTCCATTCATCATCCGTCTTCATTGAACATGAAGGAAGTTTGGGAAGAGGGATTGACTCTATTTCCGGAGTACTTCCCAGATGTTTTTTCAGGCCAGAGTTTAAGGGAGAGATTTCAGCATTCCGTAAGCACTAACATTCCTGTCAAAGAAACGAAACTTTTATCGTCTTCAACAAAGCAATACTCTTGGGAAAAACTCGATGGAGATGAGGAAGGCGAAGCGCAAAAAATTGCCAATTCGTGGCTTCAGATATTTGGTGAAAGCGAACCAAAACGAAAAGAAGGCGAGCAAAAGGCAATCAAGAATTCATGAATAGATGGGAATTTGGCGTGAGGAGTTGGTTAGTCGACAGCATGTCCGTGGTTAATGGCAAGCGAATTTTAAAATTCACATTCGCATTGTTGTTTTTTGGGGATGCTTTTTCGATTCTTGGCACCCGTTTGATAGCTTTTGACCACTGCATATTTGTAATGTTGGATGTTTTAGACATTATTGACAAAGGTAGACGACGAGCGTTTCTCAGTRTGGTGGACGCTAATGACGGACTATACTGTGATTGTCATTGAATCTCACAGTACGCTAGCTTCCTGATTTACCAATAACTCTGCTCATTTATCGTTCAATTTGTTGCTAATTAGGCATTTTTTTAGGCTCAATCAGACGTACACATCGTTACAATGAAACTTTTTTTGTCGGTGTCTAACTAGGTATAATAGTCTTACTTTAGTAAGCTATCCTGTTAGCGCCCATTAAAGAATCAAGCTTTGAATTATGAACTCCAAAAGAAAAGGCTTATTTTTTTTGTAATAAAACAAGTCATTGTTTATTGTGTCAAAGCATTATTTCAGTAACCGCAATCTGTGGATGTTTTGACCGCCATTAAGGTTGTTTTCTAATCAGGTTATGCTTGTGGTCCGTATTCACCTCGTATGAAAAAACAACATATTATCAAAGTAGAAATCTTTTAACGAAATATGTTGTACACTTGACTAGATTGAAAGTCTTTGATCTTATTAACAGGATTAGTAACAGAAAACCTTCATTTTCCATTTAGAAATCTCGATGATTCGCTGAAAACCTTTTATTTCTTTTATTCGTTTTTTTTCTATATTCTGACTACCAAATTGGAAAAGAATTGCTTCATATTACGAACAAATGGCAAAAATACACGTTCTTCGAACACATGACAAACAATAATACATGTTTGTCGAATCACGCATGTTAATGATTTGTCGAAAAGAAGAGATTTCGATACCCGTGACGCTATCCACACGTTCAAACTAGCTCAATTAAGTCAATGCGAGAGGTTTGTTTTATTTTAAGTGATTAGATTATCTAAGAACGATAACACTGAGCATCCCAAGCCCACCACTGGTCAGTAAGAACATACCGTTGGACAGAAGGACCTGACACTACCTTATACAAACATATCATGCCGCATGGCACCACAACATGACAACGTTTTGACTCCTTTAAAATCATTGGCGGATTCCTGTCTCTTTGTTGAAACGTGAGGAAACTGGAAGCTAATTCTCTTGTTCTCTCCTCATTCTCTCTCGCATTGGTAAGACAGGGAGCCCAGTGCGTCAATGCTGCTAAGGATTGTAACCTTACGTGTTAAGTACTATGCGCATGGTAATAAATATTGACTTGCTCATTGGTCAATATTGCAAGGAAGTTTTGTTCACAAAATGGTTTACTTTTATCTAGCTTTATTGAACATTATAAATGGGTTTTAAAAAACCTTCCCTCCCTGTATATATAGTGGCCACAATTGTAGCTTCAAAGCCATTGGTTGGGCTCCCTGTGAAGCAGTGTTATGGCCGACGACAAGAGCATTTAACAATCATCACGAACTAAAATCTCCTACCTTACGTAAATCCATGCGACGATTCAGTTCCTTGATGTCAGTCGATTTCACAATCAAGCGTTCGATTGGTGGTACGTAAATCCATGCGACGATTCAGTTCCTTGATGTCAGTCGATTTCACAATCAAGCGTTCGATTGGTGGTCAGTATTGTTTTTGTCAAAATTGCTTGAGATCATGAATTAGCTATGTGACAACTAAATTTATGTTTTGCCGATAAGATTACACTATTCTGCTTATCATTACGTAACAAAATTTCCAAGAATAAGATAAGAAAATGTTGCGTTTTTAATGTTGTTTTGATATTTGAGTACTACATTGCTGCAGGGCTGTCTTGACGCTAGAAAGCAGGCGTGGGGTTTTGAAGCGCACACAAAGATACTACAGCATTGTGAGTCGTTACCTGTTTGATATAGTTACGTAAGGCCATAGCGTAAAGATTTGTGATTGATTCCAAGATGGAGAAAACAAGTTTGGATAAATCTCAGCTAAAGTGATTCGAGAATAGAGCTCTAAAACTTTGTAATGGCCGGTTGTATTTCGCAAACATTTTGACAAAAAGAGTATCGTGTATCAGCTGGTGCGATAGAGCGTGCAAGGCGCCACGTCCACCATCAACATAAAAATAATATACGCCATGTTGCGAAATGCATTTTTGACATTAAACGTTTCACAGGAAAAAGCCGCCAGTCAAAGCATTAATTGATTTTATATATTTAGAAAGACATTATTGTAAATACAAGCATTAGGGAAGAGAAGGTTCAATTTAAGTATGGTGTGTGGATTTGACTACAAAGAAAAAAAATCTGTCTGTTTTCACCGAGTAAAACTCGCCAGAGATTTTTGGCGGGAGATTTCTAGAAAAATGTCGATATTGACAGTAACTTATTACGGGGGTTTTGAGACAACAATGTCAAAATATATTGATCATATCCAGCTGAGATAATATGCCAATATTCGTATAACGTCATTATTGTTTTGATGTATTTCTCTCTAGTCAAAATCCTGTAGCGTTATTTTCTAGAAATGCGCTCTGTTTCAGACGTAATTTCGTGGACATATATTGACATGGAGCACAAGTGCGCAAAAGATTTTCTTTACTAGTAACCCATTTGGTTTCCTTCTAAAAGACACTTTACTTCTCGCTGTTAAAATGATTATACTATTTCATACCGTTAAAATCGTTCTTTTTCAGTCTTAGTTAGAATGTTGGGAGATAATTTGTTTAAAAAATATTTACATTGAATTTACATTAGGACTGTGGGACGTGAAAAGGACCAGCAACAATAGACAGACTGTTAATGTGTTATATTTACAATTAATTTATAACTTTAGTAAATAATATTCTATATAAACAAGTGATATTTGAACAGTTAGTGCATATTAGGACATTCACAGAGCGAATACATATCAGATATAAAGTCAGTGAAACTTTTTTCCTCTCCCTTCTGATAATCGTTTCCAGAAAACCAGTCTCTTTCTGATTACCTTATCAGTGAATCCATGGTTTTCTATCGAGGTTGTTTTTTTTAATGAAGTCTTTCCTGTATAATCCAACACACATTGAGTGTCATCAATGTACGGATGACGCAATATGATGTCTTGGATGTCCGTGTGTTTCTTGCACTGATGTGCTCAGGTTTTCTACAAGTTAATATTCATTCAAAATACTGTATATGTTAATAGCAATTCAATACTGTAAGCTGGTACTCCTTTTTCTTTTTTACCCAAAGAAATGCAGCCATGACTGAACTTCAGGACATTGGTTCTTGTGAATTACTTTCAACTCTTGCTCCCTACAGTTTAGTTTATCAAATTCAAGTTGTTGTTTTTCCAGGTATTTCTTGATACCAATCCCTGCTGTATCATTGACGCTGAATTCGCTGGTAAAATCCTGAGGGAAGAAATCTCCGAACCCTTGAAAGCCTGATGTGCGGTTTAGCTCTTTTTTTCTTTTGTAAGTTAACTTATCAAAGGTTGGGGTTTTGTTAAAAAGCCAATATTCACCATCCTTGCTACCATTGTTGGACTGGAGAAATGTTCCCAGATTGCTTATCGGCGAGCAATATTTGCTTGTAGTTTCACTCTCATCCTTCCCGGCATCCTCCTGTAGTTCGTCAATAGTAGGGAGAACTCTCAAAACCTTATTGACAGCTCTTAATCTAAACGATTCCTTATTAGAAACATTGACAGTCAAACACTCGATCGAGCACTGGTCATATGTAAAACGGCACATAATGCACAAACTGTTTAAACTGAATGCTTTGTGTTGATAGTGAGCTTTTAAGGGATATCGTATCACCATGGAAACATGATGACGTCAACAGCGTCTAATGAAATGATTCAGTTTCATCTGATTCGCTTTTGCTTCCTGAAAGATAAAGTATCATATTTTCATTTTAAGATGTCGTCATTATCGGGGTAATCTAATTACTATCAGACTGCACCATAAGAAACTTATTTTGGAATCAGATGAGCTCAGACATATTCAAAAAAAAAAAAAAAACAGTCGGGATTTCCTTGTGTTTCTTGTTAGCGCCCGTCTACGGTGGAAACTCATTATGTCCTTTTTTTTCAAAAGGCGCCGAGTGACGTCACAAGGACGTGTTACATAATAGTTATAGGCTCGTTAAGTATTCTAAGAATAGAAAACATAACCTATCATATTAGGAAGAATAAAAACTGAAACTGCAATAAATCAATTTATTTTCCTGTCATGAAACAATTAAATCGCTGACCATGGTATCACCCAAAGTGGTCATTAAACTCCTCAGGCAGGTAACAGCCACAGAGCTACGTTTGCACAATATATCACACGAATGAAAAACTATTGGTTTATTTACATATTTTTTCATTAAAATTCAAAAACAGATTAATGTTTTTTAAAGCTTTTTGCATGAGATGTGGAGTTAGAGTAAATCTAAAAAAAGGCATTTTTCGGTAGACAATGCCTCGGCGTAAGTGAAGTGTGACGTTAGAATTGTTAAATGTTGAGCTCAAGATATGAAAAACCGACGAGGGCAGACATAAACCATTGTATATAAAACAATATCACATAACTGTTACTAAATGATTAACTGCACGCATTCAACACATGCCATAATATATATCATTTTGAGAAGCATACGCTGTCATTAACAAAAACTCGCCCCGCAAACAAATATCAATATATTATAATTAAATCGGTGTGATTTTCACAATTTTCTTGCGCGTAAATCATTCAAGGTTACGTTAAGTAAAGGTTATTTAAGTATTTGTATTTTTTACAGGTTTACAGCCTTTTGCAAAAATTATGAGAATTGTCTAAATATCTAAATATCATAATATCCATATCCATATATTGTCTGGAACACACGGGTTTGCTAAAGAATTCATTGTTGACATCGAGAAAATGTTCAGAACTACGGATAAGTCTGTCGCCAAAAAAAACCTAAACTACAAAGACAAGGGACTAAGGGCATCGCGCGGGATTACCCATCATGCACTCGATATTATGATATTTAGATATTTCAACAATTCTCATAATTTTTGCAAAAGGCTGTAAATATCAACTACCATATATATTGCATATAATTTAGCCATGACGAAATATCTTCAGCTGTATTACACAATAGTATATCTATCTTACCATTCTAAATGTATCCTAAATCTATAATCTTTCTTAATTTAATCAAGAAAGAGTCATTTTATTAAAAACCGTATTTCAGGTAATACGTAAAGAATCCATTTCAAGATCAATCAGTTAAACCGCCGAAAGGCAAACAGGTGGATGGCTATATTGATCACGTCTCATACAACACAAAAAACTCCGCACTTGACATGATATATCACTCTTGCAAAACTAATGTCTTGTGAAATGTAGATGGTCACACAGACAGTCATTATCCGGCGCTTGTTGCAAAAAATTGTATATTTACTCAGTTGTAGATTCAACATTCGATTGAGATGCCGATTGTATTTCATGGGTTTCGAGCGCGCTGTACATGTGAGATTCGGAACGAACCTAACAGTGATTGTATAACTAGTGTTTTCTTGTGATTCCAATACGCTATGATTCCATGCAATACGTCACTCTAGGAATCAATGATGTCATCTAGTGTATGGGGTGGTTATATCGATACCCAACAGATGTTATAGACGAGCATGACAACCATTTCTATCGCACTATCTCAGGGCTAAAAATAGTTATCAGAAAGAACTTACCATATATATCTCTAGCAACAAAAACGAGATTAGGGAGACCCTTGACTGCATCTTCATACCAGCTGTAAACAGCTTTCATAAAATCACAGCTCGTCATCAGCACATACATGTCCCTTTTGAAATGATGCACAGATCAGCCTAAAATATCAATAAAAGTGGGCGTTAAATAATTCCAATGTAATTCTTTGAAGAGAAGTTGGGATTTTTAATAATCAAATTGATTTCGTTGTGTTATACTAAAAACTTGCGAGAGATTACATGGAATCGGGCTGGCTTTTACCCAGTTTTGCCTCTGCTTTTATGATAACAACGATTACAAAAGAGAAGACTGGGTGCGAGTAAACGTGTAGTCACGTGAGTATCGACTAGTCACCAGTTTCCCTGGGAACTAGAAACGTGCGTGTAGGACATGAGGACATGTATAATTGAAGTTCCGTGGTTAGTGATTGTGTCGATACCGCTGTGATCCGACCATGATATTGATGATGGACGTCCCACCTTTGGCAATTACATCTAGATTGAACAAAATTCCAAACATGTTCCTCTTCAACTGATTGATAAAAAAGATTTAATTAAATAACGAAGCATGTTTTGTACCGAATAAACCAATCAAATCCAGGCTGTTGATTTCTTATTGGACAGTTTTGGTTTATATATCGATCATTATCGGTATATCACATAGAAAACTAATCCTGCATTCTAAATGTAATTACCTCACCTTTTGTGCAAAACAATAACCTTTGCGCAGAAATTCCTGAGTCTTTTGTTTCGTAGTTGTTTGTTTCCATGGTAACATTACCTTAGGGAAGTGATTTGCATAATTTGAGGACACTGCTGGACGCATTCTGCATGACACTGTAAGACATTATCATCGAAGCTGTTTGTTTACGTTCCTTTAGTTGTTGGACATAATATTACTGTGTTTGATTGTTATATCGAGGGTGAGTTGATATGGCAAGGTGTTGTAACAAGCGCTAATTGATTCAATCAGTTGCACTGGATTGTAGGGAATCCATCCATCTTTAATAACTTAGCAGTCGTCTCGATTAACTCAAACTTAACCCAAACAAGGCTTAATGTAAACCACTACTAACAACGCAAAGGTTTGGTTAAACTCGTAGCTGCTGAACCAAGTGAAGAGGATCTATCATGCATAAGGCATCTTTACAGGACAATTGTCATGTCAGAGATAACAGCAAAGTTATTCTGAATCAAACAAAAGTAGAACAAGTCAGAAGAGATGAGCTTAGACCCAGAACAATGTCCGATCCACTTTGTAGTAAGTATTACAATCAAGCAAGAAAGCATCGTTATCCAGAAGCCTTTGGATGTGTTAATCAATGCTGCAAAACTCGAGTCAAACACACTCACTTTGCCAATTCGAAACAAATAGCGCAAAGTATATATCCGGATTTCCTTAGTTCACTACCCAAAGACAACAACGAGGAACTGAAAAACAAAATAAAAAAACTACTAACAGATAACGAGAAAAGAAACAGTGGCGAATTGTTTGATGTTCCGACGAGTACAGGACCGTCGAGAAAGTCTCTTCTTGCTTGGTATCGCAGAGAATATGGACTGAGTTTTGATGAAGGCAAAGCAAATATCGCTTGATATGCACCTGCAGGGTACTAGTTTTGGAGCGACAAGATGAGCCACCAGCAAGCAATGTGTTGACAAAACAACTGTTGGTAATATCACTCATAATAAGCAGTTTGTATGCATGAAAGACAAGATTTGCATCAGATGTTTTGACGATTCCTTTGGACGCTTTAATTAAAGTTGTTTTCATGAACGATTCGATGACCACATCGTAATTGAAAGTTTAATTTTTGTAAAGCGCTGAAAAGACTTGATTCAATTGAATCATTTAAGATTATTTTTAGATTATTTATAGCTAAAAAAACATAGAAATTTCAATTCATTATAATTTGCTTTACGCTGGATGTGTTATGTATGGATGCTGACGATACTGAACCATTCAATGGTTTCGTTTCATGGTGAGACGTTGTTTTAATTGCTATCTCGACTAACTATTCCGGTTATTTTGCGAACAGTTGTTTGGTATTAGCTATACGGTTATTAAAAAAGCCTTCAGTTTTCCAGGATTAAATAACATAATCGGGTTCTAGTTCTAATGGGCAAGAATTCATATCAATGGAATGCGATTAAAAGAAGATGACTTCCTTGCTTCAATCCTAAATTGAATCCTTCGGTGCAGAATCATTGGTGTGCTGGTTATACGTATTCAACAAGCAGCTTTCTTGACAAGTCGTGGCTTGATGAATACAATGACTACAATATTTCATATAATGGTAGAGAGACGAAATTCATTGCTAGTGAAATTCAAGAACTTTTCAGTTCCGTGAAACTTGTTTGGTGTGAAATACTAAATCAAATTGGTGGCCGACACGGGCTAGCTGTGTCTTTTCTAGCACTCTACAGAGCAGCGATTTTCAAGACCAGTGATATTGTGTTAACTTTTCCGCTGACCACATGACTAAAGCAGTTTACACTGCGTTAGCCTCAATTGTGTGTAAAATACGCAGAAATTTAGAGAAAAATCGCGGGGTTTCAAACTATTTTCATCGTCTAGTATACTCACAGATATCTATATCTTCACAGGCTGTTATTGATTAAGATAATATATTACATGGTTTTGAGGTTAACACAGTAGAGATCGCTAAAAGGGTTTTTTTGAGAGGTGTCGTTAGTTACAAATAATCACAACAAGTGCTAGGTCAATGACATCATTACAGCTATACCATTCTCTAATCAGTGTAACTGATTTCTTATACAGTGTAAAGTTATATCATGATATGCTATTACCACATAAAAGATGGTAGCTCATTATTGCCTTTGCAAATTTTTAAGCTGAATTTCATAACATTAATTTTCCTTGATGAAGCCTTGATGAATGTTATTCACAATCACCGGTCGTAGTATTAAGACTTATTTATTTCAAGTTGACTGTGTTGATTAAAGACTCGACAGTAGCACGTGTAAACTGGACTAGTTTATCGATAACACGTGCCACGTAAGAACGTGAGCTTAGTTGAAGAAGCTGCCGGATTTCCCTGACAGCGATGAGCTGAAATCAACCTCATAGGGTGTATGGCGGGAAAGACAGAAAATATATTATCATGCAGTCTTCTTTCACTTTTAATTTGGTTACGATGCCTGAGTATCTCGTGAAAACAGTGACTACCCAAAATTGACTATAAGTTCAGACGCGAACAATCAACGAAAAACAAATAGTTGTTGGAAAAAGAATTGTATTATAAAAACACATTAAAATACAAACTATAGTTATCAAAACATTGGATCTCTACTACAAAATTAAACTTCATATACATACAAAATGTGTTTAGAACTTTGTACAGTTTAACCAAAAAATTTCATCCATCGGTCTAGAGTCTCTTTTCCTTGTTTAAATGCATCCTCTGTTGCAGTGTTCTCTGATTCATCCTCGGCTCCTACTGTTTGTAAAAAGTCAGTGTAAGTCTGTGCTGTGTATCGACCAAGAGTAATGGTTTCTGATTGGCTTCGTCTCAGCAATGGTGGATAGTCAGGTTTGGTAAATTCACAACAAGACATGGAACGCTTTGGCATAATTTTCTTAGGTTGACTTGTTTTGCTTTTTTCACTGTCCAATTGTACATTAGATTGTGCTGCGATGTTTTCATCACTGTGTTCAATTATCGTCGTAAGACCACGGGCAACAGGAGAATGAGACAATTGACCATAAGACCTCATTTTCATCATTAATCAGTTATTCTTGTCTTGCTTGATCGTAAAGTCAATATACGCGATGTTTTTGTTTTCGAAGTAGAGTTGTTTTTAGACTATTGATGCGCCAGAGTAGGTAAAAACAAGGCTTGTTCTGTGTACAGCACCTCTCTCTATATATACCTCTCTATTCGAATATATCTACGCAAAATTCGTCACTACAAATGACGTTATGATCATGTGGGCAGAGACGTCATAACACTTCGATGACGACACGCTTTCAGGAACTACAGCTAAGAATCGCAGAAACACAACTTAGCGGCGAAAACAGGTCAAATCCGGGATCTTTCAAATATCGTCCAAAGATGATAAAACGATATTTATAGCGATGAGTTCATAGAGCGACTACTGAATTGTGCGGTCGTTAGGATATTTCTATGTTTATTGTAATTTTTCTTCTTGATTTAATTGGAATTTTCGCGCATTTTCCATCTTGTATATATATATATCCTTCCGGCAATAAATGATGTTCATTTTCAATTTGACTTTTAAAGCAAGCGATCTCACTGATTGGTCTATTTTAGTCTTAAGTCGCTTTCAACCATTTAATGAGTGTGGGTTTTATGGCGTGAAATCTTCTTGCTAACACATTCATCTTTGGTTTATCAGAATCGAGTTAATCGTGGTTGCGATCAGTGTCATGATCAGAATTTACTTCATCGATAAGTCGGATAACAAATCAACTCAAAAAACCTGCCATTTGATAAAATGGGATTTTCAGCATCTTGAAGACAATTCTTATTTGTCAAAACAACACGAATAGATGAAATAACGTTTTTGTTTATAAAAGTGATCATTTCTTGCTTACAAAAATGACATTTCTTTATAAAACGGAAGAAAATAGTTGAAAAAAACGCTTTTTCTTGTTAATGTGACTATTTCTTGCTTTACTCAAATGTAATTTCTTGTTTGTCAAACCAATGGATGAAATAACTCTCTTGCTAACAAACCCTGCCTAACGACAAGAAAGTGAAGTCAAACAATACTACCCTGTGACTCGCTTCTTCTAACGCTGTTCATAAACTACAGCCTTGCCGCCGTGCCTCTTGGAGGTTATCACGTCAACCGTGACGCATCTCTCTCAAAACAACAAGGAGTAAAAATATGTTTTTTTCCTTTAAATTACAGGATATTCCTGCCTTTTTTGAATTATAAACTGGTCGATCAAGTGACGCAAATAGTGTTCACGACAAGTAGTTTTAAGTCAACAATGTAAATATAGACTTCTCATGTTTAGCAAAATGGCAGGTGTAATCCGCGTGACAGTTACAACTTGCATGACATCGTATAGCGTGATGGTCTTCGTGACAACCTTTACTCTTTATATTAGCCAATCATATACGTTAGATTCTACAGCAGGTGAAAACCTCATGAGTTGCAGCCTGCGTTACATTATATTCAGTGGATGGCCATCGTGACAACCTATACTTTGTTCTTTCGTCCAATGGCTGTATTCTGGTTTATCATGGCAGCTGCACAACGCGTTACAAGAAGATGAATAGATAACGTGACGATGATGTCATGATACGTTGGTATACTACGTTTAGATTTGAAAAAATGACGTAAGATATACGTTTTCATTTCTATCACTCATCATGGCGGAAACACAGTATATTTCCACTCAATGTTAAGAATCATGAAATATAGTATTCAATAGACAACCATTAATCCGTTACTCATTTATTATATTCAACTTTTGAATAAAAAGAATTTTAAATTGTGCCGGAATGGAAGCAACGAAAGAGATCGTTGTGGCGATGATGGCGATGGTGATGATAAGTAGTCACTGCGATATGATGATGATGGCAGTACAAGATTAACGGTCGATTGACAAGTAAATGTTAATTTCATTACAAAATATTAATCTATCTTAGGAATACATAATACGACCGATTATCAAATCCCGCTGACAATCAATCGAACGCAAAAGATCCGGTCTTTGTTATGGTTTTGCGAAGATGTCAACAACGCAATTCAAAGCTCTGTCTATGCTAACATCTTATCACGCTGAAAAAAAGCAACGCGAATTCAAACAGTTATTTTTTGGCAGTATTAAATAACTCTTTATGAAAGACTTGGTGTCTTCTATCAGTGACTGTAGCCGTAAATCAATGGATTAATAGGTTGACTTTAAGGGATAACATTAGACCTGTCAATTAGATGAGTAAATTGGCATTATCAAAGTACATACTGTCTTCATGAAGTATGCAAATTCACGTAAAAACACATTCTATATTTGCTGTGTTCTCTACATCAACAAATATCCTCGCTTAAATTCTTTACTTTCTCATAGAACTTTGCTCTTTAAAGTTCTTGAATTTCTACACGATGAAAATAGAAGGTTGTGTAGCCTTGGTTACCGGTGCAGCGTCGGGTATCGGGAAAGCTGTTTGTGAAAGACTACTTGAGGCAGGCTGCAAGGTAAGAGGCGATTCATGATTTACCGTCAGACATCCAATACATTACATGAGATACTTTTAGATGACTGTTTTATTTCTCGTTGGATAAGACAAAAACATTTGAAAGTAGCAGAACTTTATGGTCGAGAAAACAGCGGGGGATTCTGTCTGTCATTCGTAGAGCTGAAAACAAAGAAAGATATATCCATGCATGTTCGTGTCGCTTTAGTTGCTTCATTCCTTGTTCTTTCTAGTTTGTGTTATAGCTTCGGAAATTAATCCTTTTCATATAAAGAGAATTTTAGTATACATTTATTATTATTAATAAAATCAAGTAAGAATCCAACAGCTAAACATCCAATTTCGTTTTCAAGAACCGTATATTGATATGCAAATGGTTGTTATTCTTGCTTAATGACAACTTTTTAAAAGTCAACCAGCGATTTTCGTTTCTCATTATATTTAACCTCAATTATCGCTAGCTTTATGAGAGATAGGGGTGCAATGATTTCTGGTTTGAGGCATACCATAATACACTATGCATGCTTAATTTGTTAGTTATCAAATGTCCGGTTATAATCCTCGAGAATTAGTGGCCAAAGACCTTGTGACATGATGTGAATAGAGACTGGGATTTAGATCAAACTTTCGGCGCAGTTTTCGCACTGTTTCTAGGGTTAGATTGTTCGCAGGTATACTTCCCTCCAATCATTCCCGTGATCCTCTGCAGGTTGTTTTGGTCGATATCAATGAGAATAAAAGTGAAGAGTTAATCAAGAAGTTTAATGGTGAATATGGAAAAGATCAGACAATGTTTTTACCCTGTGACGTTTCAAATCAAGATCAGTTAGAAGGTTAGTTTCAACTGAATCAGAGAAAAGCAAACGTAGGGAATCTTATACCGGTGATCTTATTTCAGGGATATTTACCACAACGATTTCTAAGTATGGTCGTCTTGACATAGTGTGTAACAATGCTGGAATAATTGACGAAAAAAACTGGATGAGAACACTCGACATTAATTTGGTAAGAAGAAAAAGCAGCTGACTATTCATTTATATAATCACTATTAACTGATTACGCCGATTTAATCGTCAGTTGAAGTGAATTAGGACACACGATTCCTTATGACATCAGTCTAGTAACACAAAGAGACTCTTTTCAGTCATAACTCTTCCCTTTTGGGGGAGAAATTAAGAAAATGGCATCGTTTTCATTTTTGTTTTTAAGAAAGCCGTCATTCATGGTACATTGTTGGCAATGGAGCATATGTTATCAGGTGTTATCATAAATACGTCATCGACAGGAGGTACGTCATCAAACTAGTCGTCCCATTCTCCTTCATTACATTTCTCGTGATTGCTTGTGCTATGTTGTTCTTTCAGGTCTCCATCCAGCGTCGTTCTGTCCTGTTTACTGTGGTTCAAAGTTCGGTGTGGTTGGTTTTACACGTAGTATCGCCCCCGTAAGTGCTTCATCTTGAAATTGTGCTAAAAGTTTTGTGCTTATTAGGTTGATATTTGTTGTGATGTGTGGATCTATAGGTTGCTTTTCGCAAGAAAGGAATTCGAGTAAACTGTATTTGTCCAGGAGGTACAGACACAGCTATCTACGAATCATTTGAACAATTAGAACTAACTCAAGAACAGAAAGATCTCAAAGAAAAAGTAGGAAAACAAACGTAAGTTCACTTGTTCCGATTGAGTATCGATTGGCTGCATATTCAATACCTGTAAACTGTACATACAATGGTAACTATAATGTAATGCCATTTCATTTTCAGACCTGTTTTTGTCGCAAAGTGTTTCATGGATTTAATCAAAGATGATAACGATAATGGCCAGGTCCTTAAAGTGACTTACGAGAATGGGGCCGAATATATCGACTATCACGATGTAAGTAGGGGAAGGGAGGGAGGGGGGGGGAGGTAATGATAATATAATGATTGACAAGCCTAAATGATCTTAATGCTATTTTTCTTCTAGACTGTAATCTAACGAGGGTTCCCTGTGGTAGGAAAAACTGGAATAGAAAGCCACACTTTTATCCAAATAGACTTAATTTATTATCAATCAGTTTCCATTGTATAAACTGATACCAGACAGTGTAAGCCTTCGTCTAAGACCATAGGATGCAAGAAATTGTAGTCCATATTGTTGTAAAAACTGATTTATTTATCAGGATAATAAAGTATAGTAAGACTTGTGATTCACAATACAAAGTATATATATATATAGTATAAGGTATAGGCTGGTCCTCTCGTAAGAAGTATTTATGGGTTATACTCATTGCTAATGCTTCTTATTGATCAACGACTTCTTTAAGCTTTTTTAAGATGCACAAAGATACTTCATAGAAGAAGATCACATTCAAAGCATGGTGCGCAAAGCATCGTGGGATCCATGCACACTAGTCAAAACTAGATGATCTATGACATATAGGGTACCAATCTACTTACCAATCTACTATTATATTGAATAACCTTAGATACATTTACTACATATACGATACAAATCAACCAATTACAGTTGAATAACAAATGTCTTAAGCAAAATGGTTTTAGTGTAGTATATACTATCAACTATTTCAGTTTTCTGTATTATATTCATTTTTCCTTCGATCTTGGTTCATATATGCTGAATAATATTATTTTCATGCAGTCTTTGGATAATCGAGTTTTCACAGGAGATTTTTCGTTACCAAAATTCCTTGACAAATCGGTCGACGACATCTTCTCGTGAACTTCTTGTGCAACGGTGTATAATCACGTGACAAGGCTTGGCTACAAAGTAGAACCACGTGGTGTGATTCTGATGTGAACTCCTGATTTACTTCGCAGTACCAGCTCAGGGAAGAGATCCATATCATCGATGCTGTCTTGAGGATCAACAGACAAGTTAAACCTACAAACACAACGGATGATTCATTAAAAACAAACGATCCTTTTTATGACAAACCTAAACGAGTACACCTGATTGAAAACCAGTCGCAGCGATGATTACAATGATCAACAATTATTCGTTTTGCAGTAAAACTTACTTTTGCAATATCATGACCAAACTTGTTTTTATTTCCTGCATCCCGAAGTTTTTGCCGATGCAGATCCTGAGAGTAAAGTGTAGTAATTTAGATGTAACAAAATATGTCTTTAAAAAGTGGCTGCTTCTTACCTCGGCCCCAGTGAAAACGGGATGAATGAATACATTGAGCGTTCTTTGCATTTCTCGGGCAAGAAGCGATCAGGATTGAATTCCTACAAGTAGATGTGATAGTTTGAATTTAAGAGAAATAACCAATTGTAATAAACACAATCAATGTTATGTACAGCTAAGATCTTGCGTAACTCACCTTAGGGTTTTCCCACACGTGAGGATTTCTGTGCAGTGCGTAAATGTTGGCAAGGACGAACGTACCTGATAATAACGTTAACGTAGATTATTTGTACTTGCTGATAATCGATAGTATAGCGAATTATATAAAATTTATCAGTATAGCCAACCATGGTAAAACTAGTAGTATACAAAATAGACAGACGGACTGATATAGCAAATAGGTACACAAACAGACAGACGGACTGATATAGCAAATAGGCACATAAACAGACAGACTGTACCTTCAGGAGCTAGTTTGCCGTCGATGGTGTACGGTTCGTCCAGAGTTCGAGCAATGACAGGGACAGGTGCGTATAGCCTCATGGATTCCTTAATGCATCGGTCTAAGTATGAAAGGCTTGCAATTCCTTCCCTAAGAAAAGATCAACCGACTTTATTGATACTCAATACCAGGTATGACCAGATTTAGCCTAGACTGTCCCCCTTACCAAGTCATATGCTGATTGTTGTTGATGGCTTCATCGATCTCCTGCTGGCAAAGTCTCTGATGTTTGACATTGGAAGCCAAACTGTACAACGCCCAGCATAATGCTACAAAGATAACAATGAACACGAAATGTAAAATGGACATTGAAATAATAGGAATATGCAAGCAATCAAGACCACAACAACCGATTCGTACCACTTGCAACAGTATCGTGTCCAGCAAACATAAAAGTATTGACTTGGGCCAGGATATCTTCGTCACTTAAACCGTTACCATTCTCGTCCTGGAAGAGGTCGTAAAACATGATCGATTGTCAGTGAATAGTATGAGGGAGTTAATTCACTTACTGAGTTTTACCTTTGCTTCCAGTAGAATATCTAAAAAGTCCAGGTAACGTTGTTTGGTGAAATTATTTCCTGAAGCCTGTATTAAAAAAATACATCAAGTAAATTCACCAACCAAAAAATGAAAAACAACTATAACTGGATCTGCGTTGTTTTTTTCCTAAGTAAACCTTATTGACAATGAACATCTCAGTAACCATCCTTCAAAGGGTGATCCCGAAAAGTCTAATGATTTGTAGATACATTAGAAAGACAGCTGTCTGTCAATCACCTTGGCACGTGACTCTCTTCTGCTGGATATGACTTTGTTGGATTCACGGTGGATGACGTCACAATATTGTAGAAATTTTCTCCTGGCTGGTGTGAGCTTGTAGATCCACTCAAAGTGATACAAGGGATTTCTAGTCAAACAACAACGTAATTTTATTATACTGAGGGACAGATTCAGCTTGTTTTGACATACTTACAACAAACGGTCCAACAATGCCCTTGCAATACCATTGACAGCTGCAATGTATTCATCTTGGATTCTGTGGAAATCAATATCAACCCATTGAAACTGACTGTATTACTGATGAATTGATTGATTGTATAACAGACAGATAACTATTGTTTTACCGTTAAAGGCCATTTAAAACAGCTGTAATTTTACTAGACAGAAATCGGCTATAAATACTCACTTTCTTGTTTGACAAGCACTCGAGTAGCTGAAGGCACATTTTAATATAGAGTCGAGAGTCATAAGACTGATGTCTTGAAAGAGTTCGACCTTTCCATTGGCGGCACGCGACCACTTACCCTATAGAACAAACCATGACGATATATTACACTTTGGCGTATCTAAACGATCTTTGACTGCTCAAATCTCAATAGCGTGTTCAGTAAGTTATTTCATATATGATGCCTTACCATTAGAATTTGGGTAGATTCCTGGAAAACAGGGAAATACCGTTGCAGGATCTTGAAATGGAATGATGGTGTAAGAAGCTTCCTGGTAGATTCCCATTGCTGACCTTCTTGTAGACCAAGACCATTTCCTGGAAAAAAACACCGTGTAATTAAATTCATCCTCTAGCTGAAAAATAACCATCAACCCCTGACAAAACCCTTTGATTCTGGTCCGGAAGGGCGGTGGAACCTGATCCGTGCATACTTTCGCTCAACGATATGAAACTCAGTCCAATGTGGAGCTGGAAATTCTATTTATAACTGCTTTCATTAAAATTCTCCTTGTGCATCTTTACTCTCCAAAAGAGGCATACGAACAAAGTCGCTGTCAATAACTATTAACTTACCAAGAAAAGGAAACAAAAATTTGTAGAAAAATCTTTCTTTTGGTGAGTTCTTGATCAAGACAGCGCCAGCAGTATCGGGATGACAGACAATCAAAGCCGATCGAAAAGGTCCAAACCACACCCTATACGCCGTCTTGAACAGTGATGCACACTTTAGATGAAACGCTAGACCGCGGCCATCAAAGGTTATCTGGAGCGAAAAATACAGTCGATAAGTTACCAGACTATGTTGGTGGGATGTGTGCATTCTTTCTTTTAATTAGAACCGTTATAATCCTGAAGTATTTACTCGGGCTTCTCGTTTTAAACTCGAACATTCCCTTTACGAAGGCACCCAATGCATTGTGCAGAAAGACTATCCCTATAGTCCTGCAGTTCTGTTTTCGGTGTTGTAAATAGTGAATGTTTTCTTGTTTGACCGCCAAATCTTTTTGAAACAAGCTCCAGGTAACAAGAAACGATTTTAATTCCTCTTAAGTGTGTTTTTGAGATGCACAGAGACAAACGGTCATTAGAATGATGATTTAGATATGTTGGGTAAAAGCGATTTTCTGGCAATATCTACCAGATGTCAACTACAATAACTAATGCTTCTAAGCTTTTTGGATCAAAAGAACCGGTTACATAGCAGAGGTCAAATTATCATTGCATATCATGATCGAGCAGCGCTTGTGATTAGACTTACTAATCATATCCGGCCCTTGAACACTATCAAATTAGGTACTATATTATGTAACTAGTCTTTGATTTTCATTCATCAACTTTCTAATTAGGATTTTTTTGTGAATAACTTTGGATACAAGTCTTTGAATGTATGTCAGATACATCCTTTTGTCGGTCTTACGCAAGACATCCTTAGTTAGGAATGAAACCTAAGAATGGTGCATATCTAAGACGCAAATCCCCATCAATGAAATCCAGCGTGTGTGTGCGGGGTTTTTTCTGATGCTGCACAATGTTTGCATAGGAATCTACCATAGACTTAGAAGAGCATTCTCACCCGTGAAGACAAAATCGATTCTCTTTGAGTGAAAAGGAGGTTTCATAGAAAGACAAGCGCATCACTTAACCTGCACTCTCTTTAGCTCAGTTACATGTATGAATTCCTTAGTTACTAGAGATGCATACCCTTTCTATGTATAACAACCTTCTCTGCGCTTCAATTCAAAACACTTTCAAACGAGACACAAACACAAGGAGCTCTATTCAACCTATCATAGCTTCATAGTSAATGTACTTCATAGGAATACATATGCCACACCCCAAAAGCTGAATACATGGAAATACCGTATTGTTTTGAAATGATATTGGTTCCTACTAGACTCGAAGCAGTCCAGGCTTCAAGAGAGTCTGTACAAGGAAATTCAAGGAGTATTAAGTGCATTAATGTTAGAATTCCACGAAAAATGTCTTCCACGCAAGCATTCTGTACCAGTGTACATTGTTGTCATATAATGACGATCACTCAATCGACAAATGCTCAGTTTATATTTCATCATTGAGCTTTTTTAAGACGCCACTAGAAAATTCATCGTCTTTGCTATTCGTTGTAAACATTTACCATATACTGAAGTGCATTGCAGCCTGTTCTGTAACAGTAGTGAATGAACTGTTTTATCAACGAGAAAGAATAGAAGTACGATTTTGAAGAAATCGATTTCAGCATGCAAATCATTAGACGTATTAGAAACTGTTCACAAAACGAGTTTCACAGCATATGCACAAATTATCCTAGGTAAAGCAATAAGAGAATAATACTCATCAACACTTTTGTTGCGCAATTGCCTCTGAGCTTTATGTGATCAGGGTGTGGTGTTGAACGGCGATATCTCTACCAGCGCGTGCCATCAACTCTCTCTTTTCATCAAGATTCATATTTCAAGGATCAAGTAATTTAGTATTGTATTGATTACATCTCTCTTTTTTCATCATATTTCAAGCATCAAGTCTTAAGGAATTGCATCCATTACTAATACGTCTTTAAGAGCACGCGCCAGGTTTCAAGCCAAGCGTGCCAGTGTTATTTTTAACAGCTGGGCATGAAGTGTACACGCGCCAATAATGCAAAGATCCAATCATCAAATCATTTAAACTAGTTGATCGTAGATGACGAGTTGTTGTCAATGAGGCTCAACATTCCTAAACACTGGTCCCTAATTGTCAAATAAAACCGTCTTTCTAAAACTTGTTGCATCATGTACGAGTAAGACGACTCACAGCAGCAAGAAAGGCTTTAAACTCATAGGTTGCCAAACAATTCCCAATCCAGTTAAGCTAGCAAAACAAGTTTATCTAATGCTGCTATATCTGCCTGCAGCAAACTCTAAATTACTATTTATATAAGTCTTACTACTGATCTGCGCTATTTTATACAAATTGTTCCTGTCATGCTTTGCATTCTAGTGCTAAGGTGCCTGCAAACTCGCAAATAGTATCAAGTTTAGAAATGTCTTCGATATCTGGCAACTTTTCTTATCATAGCCTTGCAATCTCTTATTAAGTTTCTCAATCTCATTGTTTAATCTAATGGCACAAATAACRCCAGTTTGTGGACTCTTTTCATCTTTTTGTTAAAGTGGGTGGGCCTGGATTAGGCATTTTTCGCCAGAGGGGATATTGATATGTTCATCTCAGCTTTCATACCGTCTGCTTTATTCACGACAGGAGCTTGTATCACCCGATCTGTGGGGTTGACCGTCTATAGAAGGGGTTAAGTGAAGTCTGATAAACAGAAAACTGTGTACACTAATTTTAAATGCTGGCACGCGAACGCATTAGATATCGCCGTGTAAGAGAGTCAGGTATCCTGGTCAACTAGCATGACACCAAGACCTTTTGCGATAGTTCTTTTTTCATGTTTGAAAAAAACCCTTATTAAAACCAATTCTGATTAAAACAAAATAAACAAAAATAAACAAACAGTACTTGAAAATGTAGGTGACTCACGTCTTTGACGTTGCCTTTTAACCAGTGTGGTGCTGGACCATCAAATTCCTTCACTTGGTTGGCAGASCGCCATCTTGTTGCGATTAAAGAGATGATAAAGTGAACAATTCCAACTCCCATCAAACCAAACGCGACATATAAACTGATGGACGACAAAGTTTGTTCCATGGCCAGCAGTTCTTAACTTTAAACGGTTTTCTAAGAACAAAAAAAGAATGTCTTTGTTACAATGTATCAAATAGTTAGAAAATCGAAAWTGAGACATCAACCTTTAAAAATGATTTTCACGGGAGCGCGCAGGAGCGTGTGTTCAAGAGCAAGTCTAACGACAATTCACTGGCTGATTTTGGCGGTCGAGTATTTGTGCTATTCGGTGAATGCCGACTCTATATTAGGTAGCAGTTGAGATAAGCAAACGCGTGGTCTCACCGTCAGGTGCGAACATAAGGTCCTTCACAATGATCCCATTTGAAAGCTGTTTGCGATCTTTAAGTGCGATGGTTGGCAAGACGACTGACGATTCTGTTAGRTGTCAGTCATTCAGTCATTAGAAGAGCGCGTAATTACCTTGAAACCGAGAGAGTCAGTCTATCACCTTGTATGTATTATCTGACAACATCAATGTGGCACACGCCAACCCTAGGGCCTGCATATGGTGAATTAGCACATGCCGAGCTTGCATGCGAATCACATTATCTGGCTAACAACCAGAATGAAAACACAAATCTTTGCRAATCCCGATAATCAGTCGCTTGAGTCTTAGAGCACCAGCTTATAGCACTTTGCCGAAAGTCAAACCAGTRTTGTCGATTGTAACTGAACGCGATAAGAAACCCTAAAGAGGCATACAATACAGACGGCAGAAAGATTGATCAACAATTATAATCACTTTATATGATAACAATATGAAGATTAATGTTTCCTATAAAACAACTTTACATGAAATCAAACGAGTTCCCTACTGAGTAGGACATATTGAAACTGTTACACACACTTCATCAGACGATCTAACATATACTGGCTTATACTGTAAACTCCCTTCACTGACTCGCTTATAGCATAGTTTACAATAATAACAAACTAATCAACAAAAAGCTTACCACAGTGSCCTTTTATCAATGAAGACTGGTCGGTGAGAGTATGGCACACATAGTCTATGCGGAAACGACCCGTGCTATGATTTCCCACATATCATTCAATTTCTTGTTACACAATAAGAAAGGAATTTGATGGGAAGAAATAATAGTTGACAACGACATTGCCGTTTAACATGTACCGGAAATGAAATAATGCCATTCAAATAGTGAAGGATTTGATTAACCAAAAACTTAGCTGAAAATAGAATAATTTAATGGATTTTTGTTTATCGCATCCGCCCAGAGAAAGAAATTCAGGAATTCGAAGACACTGTATAGCTTACTTCTGCTGTTTCATGTCAAAGTGCCTTCAAGAAAGGTTTTGACAAAAAGGAGTATATTAGTAGTGTGTTTTGGACATGCAGGCRCTATAAGAGTTCGATGATGGGTTTCTTGGTTGACTGTTTTATAAGGGCTGGTCATATTAGGCGCTAACTTGTTATAAACTTCATAAACACCCKAGATTTTCTCAGTTAAAACACAAAAAGTGCGATCCAGAAAAAAAGTGCGAACCGTCGATCTGGACTGCGATCCATGATCTCGAATTATTAGGAAACATTGATGTTATTTCTTCTTGCAATGATCGAAAAGTAAAATAAAAAAGYAAGATGAAAAAGGAGAGAAACTTTGTTGAAATAAGATTAAGTTGACATCTTAGATTATAACGCTCTATAAACAAGATAGCTGGACTAATAAGCTTAAACAGCAAGGAAGAAATGTGTTTATGTCATTAACACCTCGATGAATCTCAAAGAGCTTTATAAGCACCTATTTGTACACCATGCAGTGACCCCTGGTAAATCATGGTCCACCGTCTGCTAGACTGAGATTTCTATCATATATGTCATATCATCTTTCCATTTCCATCCTCCTCAACAGCAGCAAAAATAATATTGAAATTCATGGCGCTTTTGTGCTGTAGTGCCGGTAAAAGTTTGTTTTATTAATCTCCCTTGAGATAAGCTGTTCAGACAACTTCTAAGTCTTGTTTAGTTCAAACGGTCTGAATGTATGAGCAGATCTTAATATAAGACCTTCCACGGAGAAAGGCAGCCTTTTGGCTATTAGCACTATAAACAAGGTCCGTAGGTTATGCGGTTTGGTTACACAAAATATCTGACTTTTATACCAAATTCTTGACAAAAGTCCAAAACATTTTTGGCCTTTGAGTCACCAACTATTCAAGACGGATATTTATGTCGGAATACTGAGAAGGAAGTTTTTTTGCGGTCGTTTAAGCCAAATAGGAACCGATTGACACCAGATAACCATATTTTTGATCATGAATCTCCCACGGTAAGACTGACATGAGTCGGAGTGAACGCGGGGCACGTCCTCAACATTTGAAATTGAAAATACTCCGAAGAACATGCTCGAATCATTTTTATTCTAGTTATATTGTTGAAATCTTGTTCATGACGTCGAACAGCTGGCACYGGGTGCATGCATTGCCAGAGACCAAGAGCATTTTTGCGCCCTGTGAACATGTAGGCTCCGTGTTGCATAACAACTTTTTACCCGGTCGGGTATTTGAAAGCGCGCTCTGCGATTGGCTGACGTGCGGTTCAGTGTTTCAAGTATACTGCGCTGTGTCAWCTCGTTCTTGGAAACGCCCTCTGTCCGTTCATACAAGACTTTGCGTGGATATTTTCCCACAATAAAGACTTCTAAGCTTATATATAGGTATATGTGTATTGCACGTACAGGCTTGCTGCAAGGGTATACCGTAGACCGGGCAGGAAGAACTAGACCACACGCCTTTCAAATACAGTGCGTACTTTCTAAGCGGATATCGGATCCATTTATGCGGCCTTATCTTATAGCAATGCTGATATGAACCATGATCAACGGCATATTCAAGGGATATGGAATTAAAAAAAAACATTGTAATTATCAAGTACATTCGTTTGGTTGTTGGTTTGCAGTAGTGATCGCATGAATGTGGACTATCAGCGCTTATCACGTTCTTGTCAAGGTTCGTTTCCGGCTAGAGTAGTTGGCGCGTGCTACATAAGAGTGATTAGCAATGCAACCCAGACATTCCTCTTAAAATAGAMCTTGCACGGTAAAACGGCACTTATCTTGGGCTTATTTGACGGTCAACGTGTTGTAAAGATTGTCRGTGGACTCGTTGAATAATAAATCTCATAATAAATCTCATAGTTGTTTTAATTGTTGTGGTAAATACTGAAGCTGTCCTTTGCAGCTTATGGGCGTGAATCCGTCATAAAATTGGATTTGACTGATAAACTAATTAAAATATTATAAAGCAATTGGGAAAGTCATACAACAAGAGCACGGAAACACTTCATTGGACCCAATCGAACACTAATAAACAACCTTATGTTATTTCAAAACATAGCTTGCTTTACTTACTAGAAATGAAGGATGCCTATAAAATGAAGTGCATTGATCCCAATACACAACAAGAATGTACTCCAAGAAAGACTAAATTATCCACAGCCTTGCTATTATAAGACTTAAGGTCAGAACAACATGAAAACCAGAAAATAAATACTCAATAATATCAAATAAACTCAGTTTATGACGTTATCAGCACTTGTGATTACTTTGATTGTATCATTATTTTAATTAAATCCAAACTGCCTTCTAGGATGTGTTTATAACAACGATTGTAGCGCTTTTATGAATATATGTTCCCACTATGGCTGTTTAGAGAAACTACAGCGCTCAAATATCTCTTAGTTAGGCAAATATATGTCGTTATATCTTGTACGTTCCTCGATACTGCAAGATACTGTACAACTATACCAGAAAATGGGGGACATATTTCTACTTACTACAATTCAATCGTAATTGCTAGTAGCAATCATAAAAGAAATATTTTGAATGTAAATCTGATGTTATAAACTGAATCGTTATTACGTATTAGATTATTACAACTTACCAAGTATGATTTCTATTAAAGCCTCCTTGCGTGCCAGAGTACCTCGTGTGGAGAGCGACTCTCAACTGCAGAATGGTTATCAGCTTCAGTGGTATATAGGGGATGTCCAATAGACCATTAAGACTACATGTCAATATAGTATTTCATCTAACATTAGGCGCGCTGCTATTCTGTTTGTTCGTCATGGCAAATCACGAGCCCTCAATAAGGTTAATACTACAGTGCTAAAACTATTTCCTCACCTTYAAACTACATTGTTTGATTATTAAACAAAATATCGAAAGAAATTAAACAAACAAAAAGGGTTTTCATAATATAATTTGCTAACAGTTTGTTTGTATTATACAGCTAATTACCATCTGTGTTATGAAACACAAATAAACGACAAAAAACAGCAACAATGCTACTATACAATTATCATTCGACACTTTGTTGARTATTAAAAWCAAAGCTGAACCTTTATCATGTCCTTGAGGAATCCTACACATTGACAAAGCCAAACTACTCGTCGACTCCCACGTGAACATATGTCATCAATGGTCGTGTGCCGTGGGTCAAGGGTGAGTATGCCTACAACGATGGTTTATCATACTTGTTAGTTGATATCTTTTTGTTCRGTGTCGGTATGCTATTGATTAAGAAAGATCCGTCTGCACCTTTATCGTTCGTGTCATCATGCGTCACTTTGCGCAATTTAGCTAATGGASGTGGTACGAGCTGTGCGCAAATAGTTTGATCGACCTACTCTCGTGCGCAGTCTGTGTAAYTGGATCGACCAACCCTCCCATCCTAGAATATTTTACTATTTTTGCTTGAAAATGGTATAATGTGATAACTAATGGAGATGCGCATTGTGCGCATACAGTGTACTTGCATACAGTACATAATATCACTCTATATACTTCAGAAGGACTGTTTTGTTGATGCTGGATTTTAATGGATGAAAACTATACGCGATGTGTATTCAGTGGAGGTGGACTGTCTTACTGACATATAACATATTTTTACCTTATTCAAAAGTAGTCAAAGGCACTGCGCACGATCTCTTTGCAGTGCGCGCGTCTTCATTCTCCACTACGCACAGTCTTCCTCAACTCAACAACAAGACATACATCCTTTATTGAACATCAATTTTAAATACTCTAGGTGTTTTTTAAGGGAACAAAAACGTTTTGTATATTTTCTATCGGGAAAGCGTGAACGAAGGAGTACAGAATACATCTGAAAACTGTCTCATCAATTTTTTATTTATTTGAACAAAACCCTTCTACAAAAATTGAGCGTTTTTTYCCTCTATGACTGCAAGCAGCATGGCCTGTTACTATGTAAGTACCATGAAGGGTGCAACTGATAATCCATGCAACAATTCAGCGCCTTGTCTTATTACATGATGATTTTTAGATGAAATTAGCGACTTTYGCCCAATTTTTCAGCTTAAAATATTTTCATTTTACGTGCATTATTCATATCAATGTTTACTCCAGTGTACAAAAATATAATTACATTAATTCCTTTTAAACATTTCAGACAGTTTAGGCACAACAGTTAACTAGGAAATCAAACACCGTGGCGTCATGTACGGTGTGATTTTGTTAGCAGATCTATGTCSTGTCCATAGAATTTATTAAMYGCTTGTGTACTTTGCTCAAATACTTTGTGTGCAGCTCTAACACTTAAACAGAAAACTCAACTTCTTTGACGATTTTGACGTCACAGTAAATGGTTCTTCGTGAAATCATCCATCGGAAAAACCAACTCAGGATGAAGATAGAACAGATCCAATAAACCCAAATATTCATCCATTTCKTCTTCTCTTCCAGGTTGAYATAAGCTATCACGTGATCGGAAAACCCTTCAAGTACCATTTCTTCCTCATAGTCCAAATATTTGTCGACGTGTCTGTGCCGTGCTTGAAAACCACACGACAGGTTTGTGAACAAGGTTTTCGAGGAGTCTTCTTTGAAGGTGAATGTCTTGGTRAACGAGACAACAGCCATGCTGTAGGAGGAGAGATCTACTGGTACCTCTGTCTGGTCATCCCACTTGGAAAAACTGAAGTGAGAAGATTTCATTTTAAAAGTGAGCATAACAGAGGGAATCTATATTTCAGTCTGACATATGATAATGGTGAGAGAGCTATCCTTCTCCGCATGCGCAGGTTATTCTAGCGGAAACTGATTCTCAACCTCGTCCCCAGGGTCATCCCCAGTGCCGACTCCTTTTCAAGATGGCGGTCGTTATGGAGATGACCCTGATGACGGCTGAACTAAGCCGCTTTCTGATTGGCTAGTGAAAATGCCACTTCTTATTTTTTGCTATTATTGGTCTTCCTGTGTTTATCAACTTGACCGAAAGGAACTGGTGCAGAGAGAGAGATCAGCAATCCTTCCCTCCCTTCCTCGGCAGCATTTTGTGTTATTGACTGCGAAKGAGGTTCTGTTTATCGTGTTCTCATCATTGCCCAAGCAGAACTGTTTTGAAATAGTTTTGTATATTTTAATCGATAAGCTCCCATGACGTCCTTTATTTGTGAAAATTCCAAATGATGGAAAAGTCTAGCTTTTGGTAAATACATTCCCACTCGCCCTCCCCCTTCGCACAAATTCTTTCCCAAATTCCTAACGGTTGATGGTATCTACAAATCCCTCTTCATTGAAAGGATTAAAAACGATATTAAGACTTACTTGAATTGCTCCTTATTTGTCATTGTAATGACTTTATCTCGATATGTTTCTGTCTGCATTCTTGTCTTGCCTCGTCGATCTACTAGAGGAACTAATCTCGTCTTGGTTTCATGATGCCAACATACTGCGTTAAATGTGATCGTTGGGCGCGTTAGACTAAGTCTTTCTAAGTACTCTGTGATAGTTTCTCGTTTTAACGCTTTGGTGAGATGTTTTCTTGTTGATGAAAAGTAGCATTCTGTCATATAGCATGCATAAACAAGAAGGAATAACACAACAGGCAGAGCGGTGAGGCTTTGAGGAGACACAGAACCATTGTAGGCATTCGAGTCTGAAGCACACCAACATATCAACAGTAGAGACACCCACACAGCGATGTTTAGGAATACAGAGCATCGTGGACACTCGACCATCCAATCTTCACACATGTTAATCGTTTTACAATATCAATGAAGGATTAATGGTAATCCAAATACTTAGAATTTATAAAWCAATTCAACCAAATACTAGTAGGAAAGAATACTAAATTTTTGTTGGTCAAATGTCAAGTGTAATGTTATACCAGAAAGAAAACGAGTAATAGATTTGAAGAGCTATCAGGCTGTGAAACAACAATTGTGTTTGGCATCAAATGTGCCTTTGTGACGAGAATAACAATAATAAATATATACAAATATATACAACTAGGCTCTCGCTGTGTTTAATGAGCATAATTGAATCGATTTACTGACAGGACTTTTACATCTAATTGGGGGTTCAATTATTCATTTCTTTATGGAAGTCAACGCCTATCACGAGTATCCCTGGAACGGAACTGTGTTATATGACCTTAACACCCACTTCATCGCAATACACACCTCAATCAATTACCATATTTACATAGTGAACAGTCCTTGAATATATTCAATACATAGTATTCTATAAAGTAAGTCATCTAGGAAGAATAAATGGAGTATATAAGTTTCTATTRATCCTAACAATCTCAATCAAACGGCAAACAAGGTCAAATACCATAATAAGCTGATATCCTACTGGTARCACAGAAAACCCATGCGAACAGTAATGTAAAACTACAACAAAGAAATGTTCAAAAATTGTAAAAATGCCYCCAATCGAATTATTATATTGGGACGTTACATGCAGGTGCAAATATACATAAACAGTCCTTTTCGATATGCAGCATTCAAGATATCCCTTTAGCAGCAAGTTCTTCCTTTACTCTTTTGAGGTAGCCTGGGTCCGGGTAGCCAAACCTAAGAATATAAAATGCATTCAGTCTACTTTATTCCATCTTTCATCGATAAGTCATCTTAGAAAAATGCTGTAAATGCAGCAGGCGATCCCGCACACATTTTGTCGTCGTAATACCAATAGGCCATATGCATTATGGCGTAACTTTACTACAACTACCAGAGAGCCTTGCGCATTTTCATTGTTATTCAGATTTTTAATCCCCTTGAAGATTAATAAAACAATTGGCACTAATTGCATTACAAAAGAAAGTTGGCAAAGCATTCTGGTAGTTATAGTAAATGACGCAAATCGGCTATTGATCATTCAACAGTGTCATCAACTAGCAACATCATCATCATAAAAATACCAATTAATCATTTCTTTTTATTATCATCTATGACATCTAATCATCGTGTTATATCTATTACAAAAACATCTCACCCTGTTGGTCCTCCATAGRTATTTGTTTTATGGTGGATATCATTCCACGTGACAGTGTTTGTTGCACCAGTGGTCACTGACGTCCCAACAGTGAACGTAAGACGAGCATCGAACGCCTTCCTTAGTAGAGCCAGTACCTCACGTCCCTCAGSGCTGTCTGGCAAGTAGGCTGTACGTGATGTTCCAGTGTACCATTGTCCAGGATTGGGATGCTCTGGACCTTGGRTTCCAYYACTGAAGTGGTAATYRATTWCAATGGTACCATRGCGCTCGTGACCAGGAAGCTTAGTAAAATAATTTGTTCTGTTATACATTGTACCGGGGGGCATGTTTCCTGTCTGCACTCCATAAGCAACACCACAAGTAGGACACGTCTTTTTATGCTTGAATGCTGCATCAAWACACAGTCTGCAGAACCGATGCTTACACTTTGACAGTGAAACTGGATCAGTGAAATCTTCCAGGCAGATGGGACAAACATCTTCTTTTTCATTAGTACTCCCTGATATAAGACAATGCATCAATAATTTATTAATTTTTTGATAAAAATGTATTAATTTGCTATTGCTAAACAAAGAGAAAACTTACCAATGGAAAGATTATCATCGGATTTACGCAAAGCCTTTTCGTCCATAGRTCGTGTTCTTTGTGGTTCTTTTCTACCTTGTGCGTCACCATATCTCTTCTTTAGCTCTTCTCTAAATACTCCGYAAGCAGTGGAATCAAGGTGAACAAACCTGATATCTGCGACTGCATTCAATTTAGGATCACTTGATGTCATGTATTTTTCAACAGCGTTGATCATTGCTGTAGCACATTGTGGYAGAGTCATYCCTGTYTTCYSTCCARCMCCAACCGCTGGAAATGCGATTGATCTCATACTACGCGACTGTGTTTTACGCAGRCATTCAAGGCAGGYWTCCTGTGTGAAGTTTTTTAGCACATCTTTTCCTTTTTTACCATTCCAAGTAATGAYGTGCATTATTTTGGAGCAAGGAAGTCKCTCTCCGTYGGTAACTATTATYYCCCCTGGTTTMATATTTCTTCTCTTTGYCTGAGCTTCAACTTCCCRAAWTATCTTAATTCCTCCTTTRTCAACAATGGCTTTGGGAAGACCCGAGGAAAACCCTTGTAAGTACTCATCGTTACAGTTCACGATGACATCCACCTYTTCTTCCGTAATGTCTGCCTGGCGAACTGAAATTCGAAAGCCTTTCTTTGTAAGGAATTCGTCTACTAGTGCACTATCGTTGCCTGTTGAAAACTCCCTGTCACCAGGAATTGCAGATTCACGTGGCAGGTTTCTTGWASTGGRTTGKCCTWSGTTTTTCGTGTCTKCACCATCTTCAGTRCTCTCTYGTTTAGAGTCGTTAACACGTTTACGAGCGGCTCTTTTCAACGGTTGKTCAATATTCAAMAGCTTGTAGACATCTCTWATTGCTGTCTTTACTTCATTTTCCTCGCCATAAAACAGCCACGTGTCTTGAGCAGCGRTTTTTTCGATGATGACAGGTGCAYGWGGCTGGAYTTTATCGATTGCCTCTTGTACAGTGAAGTATGATGTATCCTKTCCTAGTGTCAGCACAACCTCCTTGGACATCATCGATTCATTGAATAACCTTTGGTAAAGCTCGATATACTGATCGCAACCTGCTTCAAATTTCGCCTGAKTACAACTTGATAAAGCATGGATTACGACTTTATTTCCGTCTTCTATACCACGAACTCTTATATCGTTATCTCTCTCTATTTGTACCAACTGTTTCCTGTACTTTGGAACTGTGAAGATAAACTTTAAGATTATCGGAAYTGTTTGGTAAATCACCTCATCTTTGGCTTTCTCATCTGATCTGGACGGTTTTGGACTGGCCCTCCTTTCACTTGTCGTTGGATGTTCTGTGGTATCTTGGTGGTGTCTGGAAATTCTCTCCAAGATATATTCATGGCATTGTGTGATCTGTTGCATTGATCCAGTGAGATAAAAAGTGTCTCTACTGTTACTCTTCCTGCAATCTACTCCATAGTCCCTTTGAAGGAATTCCATGAGGTTGCCGCTCAGAATACCAGATGAACTGAAGATGCACGGATTCACTCTGGCTTGGACAAATTCAAATACCTGACAAATGATATTAAACATTTTAATAACAATCATAAAAGTATCAATAATGGAAATGTGTGATTTTTGTTGTTCTTTTTTCAACTTGAGTAAATCTATTACCAGCACACTAATACACACTATTCCTATCCTCCGTTGGTTCAAGGGCTCTCTATAAAGTGCCTATAAGTGTATCGGGTTTTCAGAATAAGCATAAATCTATACACGATCTTGTAACTCTCTTTGGACACTAACCGCTCATACTTTCATTAAAACTGATGAACCAAACTAAAAATRTTGTGAACCGTTTGCACCTTACCTCGGGTATTATAACTGGAATGGGATACCGCTGTACAGTGACATAAATATCACCAAGCTTGTGTTCACAGCCAATTGCTGTCTCAACGGCTGGAAACAAATGCACAAAGCCCGATAAGGATTCCGATTATCAGATAAACATTATGTAGTCAACCAGGAAGTAAACAATTTTTGAAATGATTCATCTATGTACATCAAACCAATCCATATGAAGAACAATTGATGTGAATTATTTTACTCAGTCACTCTGAATCAAGGAAGCATGCAAGCAAGCTATCGATTTCTTTCTTTAACGACTTTAACATCAATCTGTAGTACTATGATAACAACAGCTTCAACGTAACAGCAAGACAAACGATTCAGTCAACTTTCATCACTCTCCCCTCCCTCCCCTCCTCATTTTCCCTCCCCTCCCCCATTCCCTAAGGATAGTAATACTAAACGAAAGTGAAAGTATTACTAACAGCCGTTACTCGCGGGTAACTTCCTAACACACTAGAATTTTTCTCAATCAGGATGCTGAATGAAAGAGTGAGCCTAAATATAAGTATGGANAGACAGGAAGCTGAGGCAATCACTGTTTTCGTTTGACATTCATTCAGCCATCCAATTCGCGTTGCAAGCAAGCAAGCAAAATAAAATAAAATGAAAAAATACACCAATCAATACTAATCAATATTTCCTTACTTACCCAGAAGTTGCTTTTYTGACAAGGTGTCTTTTGTCAGGTCATGACCCTGATAACCATTACACTTAGTCGTAGGTAGATCYCTCAATTTATGCTTTGGTCGAGCACCACCAGATCCACTGTAAGYATCGTTGGGTTCTYCTCTCCATCGCTTCTTTAGATTTGAGTTATCACTTGGTTGATGTGGTGCTTTGYTGGGCTGGCTGGATTGATTTGTTGCTTGTAGATTAGTCCAGGAAAATCCTTCCGMAATGTGTTCAGCATTTCTCCCTTGTGATGTGTAATTATGCGTAAGAATTGCCTCATCTGGGAGCACACTTTCTCTTTCCCGTAGTCGATCCTCTTTATTATGCTGTCTTTCTGGGATCCTTGCACTACCTTGTCTGCTTCTAYCTTTCTCGTGATGGTATCTCGATTCCTGGYCYGATAKKGTTTGACTTGTAACGTGTTTTGCTTTMGGAATATTCGGCTCCGTTGTCTTTTGCATTTCTCCATGKCCATACCTTACTTTAAATTCCTTTTGAAAGACTTTAACTGTTCTTAGATCATTGTTAACGAATCTCACATCGGTTACTTTAAATGCTTGTGATGGTGATATTTGACTGTTGTATTCTTCTACTGCATCAAACATAATTTTTGCRCAYACTTTCTTCGGCATTCCATATATTCCTGAAGAGACTGCAGGAAATGCAATRGAATTGAACCTGTACTTYTCTGCTTGCTGTAGACTTGATAAAAACGCCTTTTTCAGTAACTGTTTCCCTTTTTCTTTTTCGCTGCGATTCCAAATYGGTCCAACAGCATGTATCACCATCTTACAGTTAAGATTACCTGCTGGTGTTATGGCGGCCTCTCCTGTTTCTAGTTTGCCTTTTGTGCCGATAATTCGCCTACACTCATCTTGAATCGATTGACCACCTTTGGATACTATTGCTTTTGCAACACCTGCATCGTGACTGAGGCTTTGGTTGGCTGCATTGACAATTGCATCACTKGACTCATTTGTGATGTCACCTTTGTAGACTGAGACCCTTACACATCCTTAAAMATGTAGAAGAAAGACCGTCATCAACGTATTTATCATGAATAATCAAGTTCCTATATATCTATCCTGCTAYCACTACTATCATTTATCGTCCGTGAGAGAGTCAACATACCTAGATCATGGAYAAGTCTGGTGCTCAGTTCTTCTCCATCGTCATCATTGTCATCGTCATCATCACGATTACCATTCTCCAATAGCATTTTTTCATCGCCAGAAGCCATATTGTTGTTATCATCTGCTTCTGGATTGCTGTTTGCCTKCTCTGACGCTAGATCCAGTCTTTTTATCTCGACTATTCTTCCAAGGCATTGTAAAATCTCCTCAACATTTTCAATTCTACCAAAAACCTCCCAGCTTTGYCTGTCAGGAGCGCGCTCAAGGACTGCCTTGCCCTTCTTATTGATTTCCAAAACAGCGTTTCTTAACTTCATCTGTTGCTCGTTATTTGAGTGGACCAAGCAAAACCTTTCACATTTCATGGTTTGTTGCTCTGTATGGTACATGTCTGACAGTCTTTGACTAGCTGTCTTAAGCATATCTTTGCTGCAGTGCTCTGTGGGTTTGACCAGTACTTTACAGGCATTAACCATAGTCTCCAAAGTCACGTGGTAATCATCCATCAGCTGTGCGAGCTGCTTTTTATAAATTTTASTAAAAATRTGCCATTCCGTCTTGGAGATCTCGATTTCTCCTGAACAATCTACTTGTAGCTTGTCYTCACCCGTYGTGGAGTATTCATTAGTGGGATAGTCTTGAAAGTCTCTGTCAATTGGTKTATCATTCTCTTTYCTGGCAGTAGACAGTGATGTTGTGAAATTCTCAWGTCGATGGACTTTCRYGGAGCCATTCTGTACATTAGYGCTYACTTGGCKRMTTTGTTGACGTTTGAGGAGGTCACATAAGATGCCATGACAYTTGACAATTTGTTGATACGATCCTGAAACCACGAATGTTGCATCACTGCCTTCCACACATTTCACATTCATCTGTTTCTGAAGTGATTGAAGTAAATCGCGCRTGTCTTTTACACAAAGACGAATGTCTGCTGGGTCGATCTTAGCTGACACCTTTGAGAATACCTGCRTGGAATACACAAAATATAAGATACTTTTAGATCTTTGAMWGTAATGAAAACTGCSRGCACGCTCTCTGCATGGTYAATGGACTTGACGTCACCTAYGTGATTTGCATTATGGGATCGGTTTCTGGAGAATCAATKGAGAAAGCAGAAGAAAGTCTCCATGTTTTGTCTTAAACATATCCTACAATGCATTGCGTATATGGAATATGACGTAAAAGGTCCAGAGTCTGTTAAGATCATGGTCTAGTAGCTTGGTAAACACTAAAGCGTTTATTGTTTTCCTCCGTTCAAGTTAGAACAAGGAAGTTTGATTGGTGGCGGGGGKAGGGCGGGATGAGTGTGTGATACTGTTTTTGTAGGTTGATACTTACATGATTGACATCCTGATCGTCATATGGATATTGCTTTACTACGACTGACACTCCATTTASCACGTGCTCTTGTTCCAGAACCTTCTTTGCATCTAATATTGACAAAAGTAAAGCAATAAATGTAGGTATAATTGACTTTAAAAGCCTAATAATATCGCTTAGTGGTTCCTAGAACTGAATTCTCAGGAAATGAGTAAAGTAAAATACTAGAATATTTCACAATATCCATGATATGCTAATGAGTATAACAGTCTATTGCTTTGAAAATTGCTCAGTCATGAAGTTAATAAGGCATCTCGCTAACACAACATTATAACAGACTTTGAATTTTGAGTAGACCTGACTAGATTCTGTTAATGAAAGGTACAATTCGGTTACAATTACTATCTAGATCAGTCCAGACACTTATCAATACCCACGAGAATAATCACATTCAGTACATACTTTTCGGGTCTTCAAAAGTAACGAGTGCAACTCCATTCCCAAGAACAGAGATCTCTTTGATATCACCACCGCCATGTTTACGAGACTGGAAGTACATCACGATATCATCCTTGTCCATGTCTGATGGCAAAGAACTCACTATTATACTGCCTCTTGCTTTATTGGCGGTTAAAGAACCCATAGTCAATCCATCAGACATGTTATGGAACAGCTAACGGACTGAGGAGCTCGAGTAATTTATTATAAAAGCAGATAAAGTAAGGGAAAACTCCCCCTTACAGGAAATGAAAATGCAAATGACGTGTCGGGGGAATCCCCTAGTTCGTGGAATCGTTTTCAAATGATGTAATRCTAGGAATTGTCGAATAATATTGTATATATTCCGATTTGATTTTAGAACATAACTTAGTATTCTTACCCGTCATTTTTATCATATTTGTTTGCTCATGATATTTTCTATTTAGTTCAATTCTAAGACGTAAATATATTTGAAAAATGCGTGACCAAATATAACATTCGCTTTCCCGTACATTTTCTTGAGATATTTCACTTTATAATCCAGCCATCTTTCATTGATTGAGGGGGAAATATTCCCATATCGAAAATACTCCCTAATTAAAATTTTATAGAAAATATGCTTGATCAGCTACATAGTGGTCGCTAGTGACAGCAGGGATGTGGATTTCCCCGAAGTGTCACGCCATGTCACGCTCTTCCCAGTCCCTAAACAACGAGTTCCAGGAACTTGTTTTACTGGAAGAAAGACTTTGAGCCGATGGATTCTTGAAAGACAGCCATGGATGTCGATAAATATGGCAAACCTCTGTCTAACGGAGAAAAAGGAGACGRCTTGAGCGACGAACAAGTAAAGCGAAGTGTTATAATCTCGAATATACCGAGAGGAGCCAAACGTGATGATCTTTTGATTCATTTCCAAAAGACAGCAAATGGAGGGGGAGAAATTGAAGACTTGAAGATGYTAAACGATGGTAAAGCTGTTCTAATCTACGAAGAGGCAAAGGGTTAGTATAAGGAGTTACTTTAACCATATAAATCAGCAGAAAATGAAGTACTAGAATGATTGGTTTACACTGACAATACCTTCGMCATGTACTTCCGGTTCAGATKTAAACTTTCACTTTTACTTTCATAATACTCTTCTTTCGGGGATAGTGTCGGGTATTTTTGTTCTGTTGAGTRGAAAGTGGATGTAYTCCATAAACTCTATCATTGTGGCTTGAATCCAACATTTTAAACTTGTTTTGCATATTGTTTTGATTATGAGATTGATTGTAGTTGCAGAAAGTGTGCTGGAAAAAGAGCAGAAGTTTGGAGATCTTGTGCTTCAGTTGCAACCCTACATAAAGGAAGAAATAGTCTCAGATAAGGTAAAGATTTGCACTTAATACTTCCCTAATAGTCACGCTAAATTATAATCTTTCCAGGCAGCAATGTCATAGCAACTGTCGCAGCTACACATTATTTTTTTGCAGCTTGGAGTCTAGTTGAAAATGCACATATATAGAAAGCATGGATTTTTGAAAGGCATTATTGTTTGCTCTAATGATTTAGATTTAATGACCTAAAATAAAGTTAAATAAAATTATTTGGAAAAGTATTACAAGAAGATTAGGTAATTAAAATAGTATTACAAAAAATCATAACTTGATCAGCAGCCTTCAGATCGAATCAAATATGAACATTCTTTTTGAGGAATCCTGCCATGATGTCTTGACCATTCTGTAATAATTTGACCAAACTCATTTACCTTAAATCATGGCTGATACAAAGGCTGCAAATTAGAGATGATTTGCAGAAAATATTCAAGGAGGTATCCTCAGTCTTTTAGGGGACATGCAGTTCCAACACAACCTACCTCTTACCCACATGTACTTGAGTTTCCATTTACTTAATGTGTGATTCTGATAATAATCTAATAACCATAATTATTATTTTTTGTTTATCTACTTTTTGCAGAATTACTTACTGTTTCACCAGTATATGTGATACTTGGGGCCAGTCAGCACTGATTGAAATGGGTCTCATGATAGGTTGAGAAAACAATGGACAAACAATAGATAAATATTTCGACAATAAAACAACACCTAATTAGGGTGCTGTACTTAAGTAGCAATCAAAAAGCAGGTTTCAACAGTGCTGCGGTGCTGTATTACTGGATACTTGCAGAGCTGGGGGAGGGGGGTCTGGTATTATTGTGATTGACACATATCATGCACCCCCAACCCGTTCTTTCCGCTTGCTATTTATGTTTCAAATATACATACATGTATATATACATGTATACAGCCTTTTGCAAAAATTATGAGAATTGTCGAAATATCTAAATATCATAATATCAAGTGCATGATGGGTAATCCCGCGCGCAGCCCTTTATCCCGAACACGCGGGTTTGCTAGAATAATTCATTGTTGACATCGAGAAAATGTTCAGAACTACGGATAAGTCCGTCGCCGCCGAAAAAAACTAAACTACAAAGACAAAGGGACTAAGGGAATCGCGCGGGATTACCCATCATGCAATTGATATTATGATATTTAGATATTTCGACAATTCTCATAATTTTTGCAAAAGGCTGTATATTATATATATCATATATATATTGTTTTTGATTACAGAAGGATGTGTTTAGCCTGGTCAGTGCTAAAATAAATCCCAAGGTTTTCAATATGTCATCAGAAGAAATTGAGCAAGTCCTTTCAAAGATTGCACGAGAGACTAAGATAAACTACATCGAACTGTCTGATGGATTCTGGGTATCTGGCACTTACAAGCAGATCAATGTCACCTGTTTAAAGCTCTCAGCTTGCGTAACACATGAAGGAGCCCGCATTAACGATGTCAGCAGCAATAGTCATGACGTAAGACAGCTAGATCGTGAGCCTGTTGTTTTGGATGTCCAACCAAAGCTGATGCATATTCTAAGTAATCATATTAAAAAGTTAAAACAAAGACACAAAATGAAGATAGAACAAAAAGAGGATAAAGTAATGCTGAGTCCACTAGATAACGACTGGCAGTCATTCGAGACCGGCAAAGAGGAGTTCATTACTCTTTATCAGAAAGCCTTCCAAGAAATGGACGAAAAAAGTTTTGAACTGAAGGAAGATGCTACTAACATAAAGCAACTAGGCAAAGAGATCATGAACGAATTGAATGTCGTTATTGAATTCAGAAACAAGACAGTGTGTATTTACGGCAAGAATGAACATGTTGTGCAAGCAATGCAGCGATTACAGGGAAAACCAAGGCGGTCTAGAAGAGCTTGCAAACCTGCTAGTGATGAATTACCTAAGCCAGATACATTTGCTCCGTTACCACAGGTGCTTTCACATCAACTTGAAAATGGCGTTACAGTAACGGTCTCTCAAGGAGATATCACGCAACAAGAGGCCGACGTCATCGTTAATGCAGCCAATGAGCGTCTTGAACACGGAGGGGGCGTGGCAGGTGCCATTGTTAAGCATGGTGG